TTGTGATGATTGAGCTCTAACAGACTGTTTATTGTGGTCATAAAAAAAGGTAGAGTCACCGATAGCAAGCCTGTTAAAACGTAGTTTAAAGCTATCTCCTTGCGATTTCCCAAAGTACAAAAGCTGCCTTCGTTCGCAACGCACATTTTCGGAAAAATCTTCGCTAATCGCAATTCCAGAATCCTTGTGCTTAATTAAATCCCAATGATAGAAGGTGTTGTTTTCTTTTAAAAGACAAGAAAACTTACAATAACGGGCCTTGGCTCGTCGCACCTAAAGCGTCCCAGCCTATGGGAGCGCTCTATGTCCGATTCAGAAAGTTTTGTTCCGAATTTAGTTTCACATATTTTCATAACTTTGGTTTGTGCTTGGGACCACGTTTCTTTTTGGTCGTCCTCAATTCCGTAAAAGATAAGAATGTAACGCCTAGATTTATTTTCCAAGTCATCCTGTTGTGCTGACAGGCGATTGAGCTGTTAAGTAAGCTCTGAGGCGACATCCTTTATTTCTTGCATTTCTACTTTCACAGTACTTAAGGACGCCATTTCTGTTTCTGGTGCAGTCATTTTGCCCGCAAGGGTATCCAGCTTTGTGTTAACAATAAGCTGTTTTTTTATAACTGTTAGTTCGTGTAAAAGAGAATCTTTCCCTTGTTCTAGTTTTGACAGGATCGCAATAGCCTTGAGCAGCTGTTCTGCTTGTCGCTCTGTGAATGGCCCAGGTTTGGATTCGACATCTCCGGACACCAATAGTAACAGTTTAAATACATACGCTTCAACTGAACATTGAAATAGCAAAATTTTACAGATGGCATGAATACGCACAAATGCGATGGTGCTGGGGCACGGCACCGACCAGTTACTTTGTTTTGAACGGTATGTTAACGTCATTACAAGAGAGACCAACCCGAAGTACAAGGAAGCGTAAGCAATTGAAGCACTTCATGTCGGCACCGAGTCCCGTCCAGGCAGTGACCGGAGGCTCCTTTTGTAGGTTCTAGTGAAAGGCCGTGCCCGCTTTTGGTCCCCTGGCGTTGAAGTTAATAAATTGTGAGTCGCACGACTTCGTGCATGGCGTTTCACGTGCTCATTGTTCCTGAGCAGATTATGTTTTCTACTGAAGTCGTTCTAAAGCATGAACTGCTAACTGCTTCTTAACGCTACCCCCATTCCCAAAATCTTGTCTCTCCGTCCGTCCGCCCGTCCGTGCATTTCTCAGCTAAATATAGCAGGAAAACTGATGTCAGGTGACGCTACGTGGCGGAAAATAGAGACCATTTCAGATTTCCCGCTAAATTTAGCTGAAAAAAGCTTACGTCATATTACCTATACAAGAACTTAGTTCCCTCACTCAATTTAGTGGGAAAATTTGCGTCTTGTGGCCAAAACTTGAATAAGGTTTCCCGCTAAATTTAGCCGGTACTTTAAGTCACGTGACCTATACATAAATTTTGTTATTCGCTAAATTTAACAGGAAAATTCACGTCTTGTGACCTAGACAGCAATCCAGCTTCCCCGATTTCAGCAGGGTGAATTGACGCCATATGGCCTGACGTCACGGGACCTAAAGAACCATTCAGTTTCTCCGCTAAATTTAGCGAGAAAATATACGCCCGTGAAACACCAATCCCTCACCAACTTGTTTATTTACGTCTTCATTCGGTGAATTCATGAATCTCACACACTGGCCCAATGTGTTGTCTGTGAGAAACGAATGCACGCGTATACTCCTATACTTCGTTTGAGCTGAAGTTCAGAGGCAGCCGACGCTGCGGGTCATGGGACCAATTAAGCAACTTGAAAAGCGCAAGCCACTATAGTAAGTAGCTACTCAAGAAGCTCGGGCGAGGGAAAGGAAGGCCGGGGAGGAGGAAGCACATGGGACACTGTAGAGAGGAGGAGTTTTTCCCCTTTCTTTTCTAGCATTCCATCAGCTTCCTCCTCCGCGGCCTTCCCTTCCCTCGCCCTACCTTCTTCCGTTGCTATTTACTATACACCAACTCATGTTTACAAACAAGCCGGAGTGCCCCTAGCGGACACACCGGCGCCGCGCATGCGCGATGGGGGTGTTCGCAAGAAGCTCGCCGTCGCCCATCAAGAAGCCATTGGAATGCGATGTTGTCCTCGTCGGTGTGAGTCCCCCTACCCTTTTTCGCGTTCGAATTGTTAATTCTACGTCTTACCTGGCGATGGCTGACTACTTGAGCGGCGTCAGCGAAATTACCGAGGCTCGTTACACCATAAAACTTCGCGGGAATAATGTGACATGTGGCGATTCATTCCGCGCGTATGTACGCTAAAGCCTGATTCGCAGGATGCGGTTTTGCTCGCAATTTTCAGTCGCGACGCCGCTCGGGCTGCAAAAGCGCGAACCGTAACTGAGATGGTCGACGTCGATACTGAAAATTGCAAGCAGAATCGGACCAAGTAAATTAGGGATAGCAACTGGGCGATGGCCACTGGTAACAATGATCAACATCGCCTTGTATCTACTTTTTACATCCAGCCTGCTTACCAACCTTCAAATTTAAGTCTTTTGAGGCCTGCACTTACTTCTTATTGCAAGTACCGGGCCAACATTTGGTCAACGGGCCGGCGTCGTCTAAGAGAGGAGACGACAAGCAGAAACGTTTAAAAGAGCAGAGGACAGTTCGACCGATCAGGCGGCCGTTTGAACTTGAACACGCACTGAAAGTAGTCCGCAAGTGGTCCGCACCACTTGACAGTTTTTTGGCGTTCATATTGGAACAAAACGAATAAATCTGATGACCACAAGTAACCGTGAATTGAACCCAAAGTGCTACCGGCCGAGCAATTGTTGTTTTTGCTGCTTTTCCCTTTTCACGGCACATATCCAGATTCTCGGACGAACCGAGCGCGTGAAAACTGACCTTCAAACCTTTCTCGACACTTCTGGTACGGCCCCAGTCGCGGCGTTTTGACGAGAAGGCAGGTTTTTGTCCGGTTCCTTTCTAAACAACGCAGGAATACACGTCTGGCATGGGGACTTCTGCCCACAGCCCCAGACCGGAAGTGCGACCGACGCGCCACCACCGCGCCGTAACGTCACAGAGTTGAGTTCGTGTATAGTGGCTTGCGCTTTTGAAGTTGCTTGATTGGTCCCATTACCCGTAGTGTCGGCTGCGTCTGGACTTCGAGGGGCACAGACAACCCCAAATTCTTTTTTTCATTATGGTGCCAGGCGATTTAATTTCGCGTCAGGAGACCACCCAATCAATATCTTGGTGGTGTCACATCCACGAATATTTTTAATAAAGTAAAAAAAAAAAAAAGACTTAACTGCTCGAAACCGAACATGAGAACTGCTCTCATGGCCGCGTCACGTGGACGGTGTGTACACAGAAGGAGGGAGATTTTGAACCATGGTTAAAAGCGCTAAAAAGACGAACACAAGCACGGGCGCAATGGGCCCAGCTTTTTGTGTTCCTCCCGGTCTTCCCAATGTTAAGCGCCTACGTTTGTCTTTTCTCTTGTGTTTGTATATTTAGTGCGTTTAAGCGTGGTTCAAAACGTTCATCACCAACTATCCCAACGACAAGTACCTTTACAGAGGAGAGAGCTGCCGGAAATTACGTGGGTTTACACCCGACCGCGTCTGTTTGTTTCTCCGCTTCTCTGGCGTGTAAAGCAGACGACGACGAAGTTGCGTGCACCTTTGTGATTCGATTGTTTTGCACATATATGGTTATATCTCTTCCGCTCAATATCCTTCGCATGAATATCGATTGGCCGGTACCACGAACTACATTCCAAAGTAGCGGCCCCCTTCCTTCGCAACGTTGTTCTGTCGCGCGCGGCCATCGCGTCGTCCAGCCCGCGGTACGTCGCCATATTGAGAATCACGTAGTACATGTACTTTCTGTAATTTGAATCTATTGTGTAGACATAGTTTGAACGCCACGTGTCCATGGAAAAGAGAGTAGCACGACAGAAACCGGGCAATTCTCGACTGGCCTTTCTCGGGGAAAGAAAGCGAATATTTAGTCGCAAATTGTGTTCTGGGTAGTTAAACTCTCATATATCATGTTAAGATAAAATATTTGGCGAGCATAATACCCTGTCAGTGTCCATTTAAGGTGAAATGAAGTACAGAGTGCTAGGTAGACGTATCTGAAGTTTGAGAAGTTTCTTCCCAAAATATATAAAATATGCACCCCGAAGCAGTGTTTATCACAATTCTGATTTCTCCAGGTCTAGTCATGTACAGGTTAAGTAACTCATGGCGTGGCTCATTGTGTTCTCGTTCCTTGCTATGTGATTCGTGTTTAGTAGTTCTCTTCGGCTAATTCCAAAAACCAATTTATCGCGGATTGATAAAAGGCTCGGGGTACATAAATGCACTTTTTATAAGTTGCGAAAGCATGAATGTCGTTCTTGCGCGCGCACTCGTGAAGTGGCCGTGTCGCGCTGACATCGGCCGTCCTGCCGCTCTGGAGTCTGCCCGAGCGGGCTCTGTGAGGTCCCGCCGCCAGCCGATTCCGTTTACCGGCACGCTGGCGGCGCGGACCCGAAGCGCCATGGGGTGGCGCTCCTTGAAACTTACACGCGGCGGCCAATGGAAGCCTATCCATCAGATTTCGGCCTCATTTAACTGCCGTTTTGCGTGGCGCTTTGCGAGGCTTCAGATCGCGACTTCACTTCGCTCCATTGGGAAAGGGGAATTTAGCTACCGTTTGGCGCGGCTTTTGGCGCGGTTTCAAAGCTGATGAGTCGACTCCCTCTATGCGACCGTTAATGCTTTCGCATCAATAAGATTCTCGAGTCTCGCCACGGATTACGTTTCTTAAGTTGTCGTTCACTACTATCATGGCGACCCTTAGAAAATATATAGCCAAATGAAAAACAAGCATATATGCTGAGGCATACATTTTGATGATGCAGTACGACGCACTTGATGCAATTTCGTAATTAATATTTTTTTTTAGAATACAAAAAAAAATATTTGTTTATATTAAATAATGCACATTTTCTGTTTCGCAGCTCTCGGACAAGGCCTGATGCTTCCTTCCCTTTTGGTTGTTATGAGCACATATTTCAAACGGTAAGTGTTTCGTCTTGCTAATGCGAGTTGAAATTACCCTCACAAAGCGTAAATGTTTAGCCTTAATTATATTCAATCATATTAAAAAAAAAACAAAAAAAAACAACAACGTAGACCGTGGTTTATTAGGTTCAAGCTTCTTTCTTCCTGAAGCGTTATTAGGTTCACGCTTCTTCGTGAATCGTTCTTCGACGTGCGTGTCGGTTGAGGCCGTCTTCTCAATGGTCGAGAAGCAATAGTGGGAAGAAGCGGGTCTCGGCATTCCCTGCCTTCCTTAAAAAGACATTGACGGGGTATCTATGCTCGCCGAGGTTTTTATTTGTAGATGCTAAATAAGAGCGCAACTAGCCAGAACAGAAATTGCGGCTCGAAGTTTATTTTCTTTTTGCCCGAAAAAAACGGTGATCGATAACTGGCCGGTTTCAGTCGTGCTCACTCTCGTTTCCATGGTCAGGTGGAGTTCAAACTATGTGTGCCAAATATATTCAAAGCCGTGGGTGATGTAAGACACACATTCGATATCAAAAATAGAAACGAATACAAGCCCCATTTTTGTGGCCTCCAAGAAGCTACAAACGCATTGATCGAAAAGAAAAAATCAGCAACAACGTTGTACGGATCACAGGAAGTGCATGTGCACGTCTTTCTCAATATGGCGACGTAGCGCGGTGCATCGCGAACCAGCGCTGCGATGGACGTGGGCCGATACCTCGTCACTGTCGTTCGTGCTACCTGCCAATCGGTCGTCAAGCGCAGAACATCGAGCGGAAGGGATATAAGTGCGGAACAATCGCACGACAAATGGTGCACCAACTTCGCTGTCTGCTTCACACACCGGAGAAACAAACAAACAAACAAACAAACAAACAAACAAACGCTGTCGGGTGTAGGCACGTCACTTCCGGCCATGAGCTTCTGTGCTCGTGGTTCACTCAATCAGTTTATTTTTTCTTTTAAGGGGTACATACTTCGTGAAATGGTACCTTGGCGCAAAAGGCGATCGTGTCGCCTGACTGGGCATCAAAAGGTCCAACGGGAGGGGGGGGGGGGGGAGCGGGGGGGGGGGGGGGGGCAAAGTCTAACAGCAACAGCACTAAGGGCTAAACTTTGACAAGAGAAAAAATACGGCTTCGGTGTTGGTTTTGGGCAGTTCAGTTTTGTGGGTTTATTAGACATATGCGTGACTCTGTAGCAAAATATAGATTGGGTAGTCTACTGACACCATATCAAATTGCCTAGAAAAAAAAAACATGTTGGCGGTAGTAGTGTCTCTTTAAGCTATTGATGACCACAAAAATGACTGAGTGGCCTTCGTCGAAAATATATGAAATCACCCTAACTGACTTACTTAATATTATTTGCATTCGCGGAAAAGCAGAAAATCTTAGTGTAGGAAGATTTTCGTTACTGCATTTTATGATCACCGTTATAGATGTTGTATGTTCTTGATATTTTAAGATCTAACGCCACTGAGCTTATGAGATACACATTTCCCTAATATTTGAGGCGTTAATTAATTGTAGATAGAGGGATCGCAGCCCCATTGTACCCAAGTATAAAACATTGTGATGTGTGGTCCGGTGGTAACCTTGAGAGGTGATCCTAAGTTAATTCGATCTAGGCTTCATATATTTGAACAAAATATAGTTAATATTTTTCTTTTGTAATTGAAACCCCCTGTTAGCTCAGCCATGCGGTGTTAGTAACATAACGCCGTGTCCATTTGATTTACAATGCAAGCTTAAATTGACCTATTTTTTGTTTAAAAATATTTTTTGAGAATTGTGAGGTTTGTATTTTTGCCGTATATTTACACAACGTTACGCGATTAATAATTGCTGACGTCATAGCACGGCCCTTATTCAAGCTGTTTGTTTATGTTTCGTTATTGATTTCCTTTGTTTTTCTTTCGTGTTTGAAACATACAGGATGATTCAGCTAACTTGTGCCGAGACTTAAAAAGAGATTGTGAATGCTTATCGTGTGAAACCAATGCAGTACTGTTCACAATCCTCCAAACATTCAATATATTTCTTGCGATGCGGCAAACCGGCCGATTAACACTGATCGATTTGCTAATTTTTAAGAAAAATAACATGTGCGCAAACTTTTAATATACTGACTGATGTTGTACAGTTTGTTCAGGAACATCCCATTGTGACGTTTTTATCAAGAGTCTATCACGTGAAAACGTTTCACGTGACTACATTACTGGTGAACTTGCAGTGCTAGGCCCTGGTCACAAGAGACTTAAAAAAAGAGCTCGCATGCAATTTAAAAAAAAAAAAAAAAAAAGAATGATACGCATGAAGGATATTTTGGTGGAATGGCGAGATGAGATGTCTCTCATGCTCTGAGGTTCTTGTTTTGGATGGTTTTGCGTGCATATTATTGCATAAAAAGTTAGCTAATAAACGTGTGATAATTAGGCAGTTTGGAACATTTAAAAACTTTTATTCTCTTGCTCAATAAGACGTTGGACAATACTGCGTTCACACGCAGAGTGTGCAGCCGCGTTTGTTTAGGTATTGACACAAGTTAGCTGATGCAACCTATGTAATTTATATTTCCTTTGCTATCCATTGTAGACTGCTCTATTTTGTAGATGCAAAATCTCCACAAGGCATTATGCTTTTGGGTGATTTCAGATAAGATCGACCAAAGGGTGGCTGGTCGACATTTTTAAATCAACTGATGTTTTTATATGACATTGTCTAGTGTCTGGTATAAACGAATCCACACTTAGTTTTGACCAGAAAAAAAATTTGGAGACATGAAAAATCGTAAGGCAGGGAGAGGTAAACAGTTGCAATAACGCGCACTGATGGAGGGGGCAAGTTTGAAAGTGAATAATTAAAACAATAAAATTAGGAGAATTTTCAAACTTTTTACAAACAAACTATGGGTACAACTTGCTTGTAATATAAAGTAATAATATTTATTAAAAATTTATTTAGTTTTCTAAAAATTGCCAAACATGCCTGCTCGAACGACAAATGACAAACTTTGGAAACCTGTATCTCATGAAATAATTTAATCATTATTACATAACTTGCAGACATTATTTTACTAATATATGGCTATTATTGAAAAAGTAACTAAGGTATCTGAGTGACACAATAGTTACAATATATTTAGGCAAACGTGGGAAAAAAATCAAAGAACAATTCCACTGCGAATAAAAAAAAAACACCACCTTCGATTTTTTTTAAATTTGGGTACCCTGTTATACTCTATTTCGGCATTAATTTCTATTAAAAACATGTTGCATCATTGCACTGTGAAAGAAGAAACAACTCCCCAAAGTAGGGTCCTTTTTCAAAGCCTACACTTAGCAGTGTCCTATACAAGAAGTGACTCTGAGTTCCAGTTTTATGAAACTTGCACAAATCTTTGATATACATTTATTCAGATGAGGTCATTGATAAAAAGAGCGATCGGTCACACAGTAAAAGGGAGGAGAAACTATATACAGCATTTTACATAAGCGTACAAAGTGGTATCATATTAGAGACTAATGATTTGAGAAAATATGATGCAGTGTGAAGTTGTATCTTCCGGTATATTTTACATCTAGAGTAAAATAAATAACTTTACTTCCACACACAAAAACAAAGATATAATAGTAAGATATTTAGGTTGGCTGTGTATTTACGATTACAAACAATTTCAGGTGACGGATGCCATAGTGCCTAACTGGAGCAGCTTCGATGCTCTCGGTGTATGAATGAATCGTGGCAAGCCGATATATTTTATTCTGCTCGAGGATAACATTTTGGGATTTTTTTTATAGTGATCAGATAAAAATTATTAGTAACCACCAACAAAAACAGTAGGTTAAATACCCCGTGAAGAAAAATGTGATAAATAAGATGTCCCTGCATTCAAAATGAGCAGTCCTTGGGAAATCAAATTCGGCACTTTACGCTAAGGTTTTCCTCGCTGTACCCATTTAATAAAGTTGCTTCCAAGCAGATCCGACTGTCCGTGCTACATATACGTCACAGGTCCCTTCTGTTGATGACTTGCTGAGCCGCCACGCGTGCCAAGACTGAATGCCAGGGAAGGCGCGCACCGTCAGCCACTCTTCTTTTTTTTTGTTCACGATACCGAACAACCTCATTTTCGTCCAGATATACAAGATGCACGCCTTTCAGTTTCTTTGATAGAACGCTCACCATTGTCCTGGCCGTCTGAATTGCGCTTACTGAACGTTCTCTCAGGTTGTTCAGCGTGGCCTGGTGCTTCACGAGTCTGCCAACTCCGTCACATGCATTTTTCCCATGTCCAGATGCAGAAAATAACCACTGGGCTTGTGGGCAATCGTCCTTTGCAAATTGGTGAAGCTGGTAGCGATTCTTGAAATGACTGGCGGCGCCGTCACTTACGTACGTCACGTACGAGTATACCGCAACGTTGTCTTCAACCCACTCCTTCACTTTTTCTAGAGCCAAGCAAGCGTGAGCGGCGTCGTGACACAGGTCCTCACTGATGATGGCAAAGCTGTTTGTAGATTTTCTTGTCGTCACTACACATATAAATATCGAAACTTCTTTTTTTTTCCAGTGATATGCTTGCACTTCGTCAGAAAGCACGATGGTCCAGTTTTCAGCAAAGTCAAAATGAAAGACAATGCTCCCGCGTTGCATGCACTGTTTTTCATCGTAGATCGCTTTACCTTGCGTTTGCCGGATATGGTTGTGAAGTACCCAACTTCCAACCGTCACTTGGATGACTTTTAGGAAAGTCTCAGGTTCCAAAGTTTTTTTCACAAGGTCGCCGGACTCCCATGTTGCAAGCACAATCTCTTCATCCTCCGGGATATCAAGTTCCTGGAGTGTAAGAAACTAGCCTTTTGGGCAGTGATCACAGTCTCCTTGAAGGCACAGTTCTGTTGCTGGGTCGCACAGAAATGCCGAGTTCATTTCACCAGTGTTGAATGTTGAGCCTGTAACGTTCTCTAGAGCGACAATACAAAGATAATAATTGGCGCAGCGCACACAAACGCACACTTCCTGGTGTGGAATACATTGGACCCATCTAGGGCGCAACGAATAAGATTTCGTTAGCCCAACGCCGGAATCGGGATGCTTGTGTTTGTATATACGGAAGGCCTCTCGTATTGAGCGTGTCATGAAGCGCTTTGGCACGAACGTTTTCTCTCCGTTGAGCATGACAGAGATGACGTCCTTCTGGTTGGGACTTTGGCGCGAACATTGTAGCTCGTCTTTCGTGAAGTACTCTAGGGCAGCAGGCAGGTTCTCAGGGCTTACCTTGCACCTCGTGTAAGGATCCGGCTCATACCACACGCCATGCTTTTCCTTGAGTTTTCGGGATTTACTGATGAGGTACATTGAGGCCTGTGGAATCATCTTTTGAACCTCATTCTTCGTCAGTGTTGACGGCAGGAGTGTAAGCAGTTGACAACGTTCCCGGAGAGAGGTGGCGGTTTCAAAGGCCTGCCGAAAGTTGTCCACCCACTCAGTGCATGTGGAGCATGTTGGTTCGGACGACCCCGATGGTGCGTCCCTGTCGTACGCAATACGTAGCCTTGAGCGTATATTCTTGACAGCAACCTGCTCCAGTTCTGTCTGCTTTCTCTTGACATAGGCAGGCCTGTCCCGACTTCTTACGACGCTTCGTTGTCTCAGCGGCGACACATCTGTAGGTAGTATGCTGCGATTTAGATCTTCAATTGCTTCTTCAGCTGGCACAAATATGTCAGGGCACTGCTCTGAGCTTCGCATCGAGATCTCCTTAGTGATGTGCATGAAGCAATGGTAGCACAGGTAGTCCGTCGCACTCACTTTGGTGGAACAGTCAGGCGGAAGAATTTGCTTCAACGAGTTTAGGTCCAACTCGCCAACACTTCGAAAATTCCGCTGCTTTGGTATAGTCTTTTTGTGTTTGCAAAAGTAATCTGCACAAAACACTCGTTCGGAGCTCCAGGACGTCTTCATAATGTATACATAAATAATAGAAATTAAACCCCAACTGATGGCATATAATTGCCAAGTGAAAGAACTACTGGGTGCACAAGTGACAAGTCCGAGGCTGAGGAGCTCACTCACTGCAAACGTACATTTGAAAAGAGAGGTCACAACTGAGGCTGTCGGCAAAGCTTGATCCACGTCAAAGGAAGAAAGAGGGAAAGTCTCCAGACAAAAAATTGTGGTCAGCGGCCTTCGAAAAAGACTTTCCGGAATCGCACTGTCGTCCCTCCACGCGCTGATATGAAAGCACCCGAGCTTCTACCACGTGGTTCATGACACAGCCTGAGCCATGTCGGCGACCGGTTCGCGAGGGGTTGGCGGTGGGGTTACGTTGATGGTCACTCGGATTAGCCCTTGCTGTACTGAGCTACCGCCTGCAGTGCCTTATAGCCGGCTAGTGTCAACAACGAGAACACACACACCCTGTCTACACCAAAACTACAAGCGTTCACCGCACACGCGTCGCCGCCGCTTTTAAGCTTTTGTGAAATTGCTTTCTTTTTCCGCGGAGAACCGCCTTATCTTAACTACGCGCCTGAAATCCTTCCAGGCGGGCGTACACAATATCAAGCGTTTCGAGAAATGCCCGTGAAGTAGAACTATGGGAAAATTCGGAGCCCGCGATGTCGATATCGTCGCCGTTGTGTTAGTACGCCGTCGCGTACTGCAGTCCCCCGTTGGGGGAGGGGGGGGGGGGGGGCGGTCTTACTACGATAACATGGCGACAGCGTTTACACTCTATGTATTTACGCGAGGCTCGAGTATTTGGGGATAATGCTGCCGGTTGGTGTGCCCCTTTGTGCCTGATATTATCGCCCGTGACGCCAGCGAGTGAGATGGCGACAGGCATGACTGCTCAGTAAACAGGCGTCGGCGGCCATGTTTTGCTGGTTGAAGTGAACCCCCTTGTCCTTGACAGCGAGCGGGGAAATGCGAAAGAAAGATTGTATCGGCCGTTTTGCCAGAACTAGCGACGAGTGTCGTCTGCGGTTTCCGGCAACTATTTTGCCATAATCGTGAGCTTAGCGAGGAAATGATTTTTGCTAGCCACAGACCACTACCACGCAGAAAGGGAATGCTTGAACATGTTTTTGTTCTGGATATATATCAGGGATATATATGAGAGAGAGAGAGAGAGAGATGAAGGTAGAGCGGAAGAGGGAATAGCATATAGTGTCGCAGGAGAATAAAGTAAACAAAGTTCCTAGTGGCCGATGGCTGCATGATCTTTTCTCGGATCACTAGTCCGTAATATGATACCTCTTTGTACACAGTAGTTTCTCCTTAATTTAAGTGTGTGAACGATTTCTTTAGCTATCATTGGCCTCATCTGAATAAAAATATATAAAAGATGTGTGTTGGTTTCATGAAACTGGAACTCAGAGTCAGTTCTTGTATAAAACACTGCTAAGTGTAGGCTTTGAAAAAGGACCCTACTTTGGGGAGTTGTATCTTCTTTCTCAATAAAATGATGCAACATGTTTTTAATGGAAATGAATGCCGAAATAGAGTATAATAGGTTACCTAAATTTAAAAAAATCGAGGGTGGTGTTTTTTTTTTATTCGCATCGGAATTTTTGTTTGTTTGATTTTTTTTTCCATGTTTGACTAAATATATCCTAACTATTGTATCACACAGATACCTTAGTTATTTTTTTAAATATTAGCTATATATTAGTAGAATAATATCTGCAAATTATATCATAATGATTAAATTATTTCATGAGATACAGACCTCCAAAGTTTGCCATTTGTCGTTCGAGCGGGCATGTTTGTCAATTTTTAGAAAAATAAATAAATTTTAAATGAATATGATTACTTTATATTACAAGCAAGCTGTACCCATAGTGTGCGCCTAAAACGTATTAGAGTTCTCCTAATGTTATCGCTTTAGTTATTCACTCTCAAACGGGCCCCCTCCATCAGTGCGCGTTAATGCAACTGTCCACCACCTCATGCCTTACGATTTTTCCTGTCCCCAAGTATTTTTTCTAGTCAAAACTAAGTTTGGATTCGTTCATACCAGACACTAGACAATAACATATAAAAACATCAGTTGATTTGAAAATGTCGACCAGCCATCCTTTGGTCGATCTTATCTGAAATCACCCTTTTATCTCTGTCTGCATAAAATAAAAAGAAAAGAAAATAGTTGGTCTACAAAAATTTACTGATTATTTTCATTTTCGATAGGTATCGTGCTTCGGGCATGGGCATCTGCTACGCCGGAGGTACCCTGGTGTCATTAATTTTCCCTCCACTCCTTCTGTACTTGCACGAGGCCTACGGGCTGCGAGGAACTCTCCTGATCCTTTCGGCCTGCAGCCTTCATGTCACCGCCGGCTGCCTCCTGGCCAAAAAACCCAATGATCGACCACGCCCCAAGAGCCCGGTAGAGGAACCCCTGAATACAAACGAAGGCTCCGGTGAACACGATAAAGCTTCGAAGTCAAAGGGAGCATTAATACCCATGCGGGAAGAGCTGTCTTTTCTCAAGAATGCCATGTATTTCGTTGTAGTGGCAACGCGCATTGTGTACACGTACAATTTAAATGTCTTTAATGTCACCATTGTGGACTTTGCCATCGGAAGAGGTTTCAGCAAATGGGAAGCTGCGCTGCTCTTACCCTCATATGGCACCGGGGACCTACTGGGCCGCATCTTGTCGGGTCAACTGTCGGACCGCAAGATACTTCAGAGGTACGGGTGTTGGCTTATTAATTTTTTTTCATGCGTAGAGGCACGTTCACTTATATTAACCGTAATATAACAAAATGCCGTGTGACCAATATCAATCAAAGTTTTCACTTTGTATGTATGGATTAATATTGTGGTCTGTACTTACATCGATATTCGATTCGCGAATATATACCAGCGCGGCCAGATTTACCAGTTCCTCAAATTGTCTAAACTGTCGGCCGCATATTGGTAGGTCAGTTGTCTCATTAACAGTGATACCGTGATCGCTGCTCGGTAGTATGGGTCGCTCATACTGATTTGTTGTCAAGATTTTGATACTAAAACGGCCTAGAGTTGACGGAGTTACGCATAAACACACGAAGTTGGAAGTATAGCGTAGACAATTTCGACCCAGTAATTAGTCCGACCCTGATACCGCAACTAAATACTGCATCCACTGCAGTTGATTTACTCCATTTGTTAAAAGAAACACGGCAACATATGACTGCTAAGCCAGTACGCAGCGCTCGCTAGGATCAATCTGCAAGTAAAGTGAGATCTTTAAAAACATTTTCGGCTGGTTTTGATCTGTCGACCAAAGGGAAATATGCCGACTTGCATCTTATGAGATACGCTGCAGAATCTCGTGTTCAATGCCCGTTTACCTTGCACATGATCTTTGTCAAACGTCGCCTTGTCGTTCTTTGTTTCCACTACTTTCTTGCGATGACACGGTGAAAGCACAGACTGAGACAAGGCAGCATTGTGTGGGGTGACATGTGCATTTCGTTTAAACGCGAGACGCGCGAACACATGCAGTTGTTTCGCGGCGCAAAAGTTTGGCAGCTGGCCAGCTCTGTTAACAGTACTAGCTTCCGCTGAGCTGGGGGTTACGGCGCAGAACGGGCGCTCGAGAAGTCCTGAGTAAGCTTCAGTAAGAATGAAATTCTGAATTAAAACATGATCTAATACAATTATCTAAACAAAAGAGTTGGTATGGATAAAGCGAACGCAATTATTTTTCTTGAGGTCTACGTGAGGACATCGCCAGGTTGTTTATAATTAGAGATACAATCTCTTGCCAGCTGTTGGTCAGCGAGGCTTAGGCTAAGAGTAATCCAGTTGCTCTTTTGCGAACTCAGTAATATATTTTATGATGCATCATTTTTGGCAAGCTCTGGCAGCGTTCAAAATGTCCTGTAGTGCTGTATGAGCTCGTGGTAGGGAAGGTTGTCCAGGGTTTTCTCTTAAGAAAAATTTCAGTTCTCTGAAGTACGTCAGAAAACGTGCAGTATTTGAGCAGAAATGCTCCCATACTCACTCGCGGTTCTGGAGAGCTTGAAAGGTATTCATGCATTTCTGCCAAGCTTCAAACGTTTACTTTTGAGTTTTAACGATGGGCTGGCGCCGCTTGACCTTTGAACATACGCAAAGAGTCCGGACACTTTTAACTGTAAGCATGTTTCGTGCAGCGTTCTATGTAGAAGTACATAACAGTAAAACATTTATTACTGTTTTGCCAGATAAGTAGTTGTAAAGGCTCCTACCCACAATAAAATTTTAAGAAGTGTAATTTTTTGTTGCAATTTCATGGCAGTTTGGCGTGAGGCCTAATGTTCACCCCACCCATCCAGGAGACACGTCTTGGCAGCCTCTTTCTTGGTCCTGTCTGCGTCCTTCGTTTCTCTGGTGCACTCGCGGTCTTTGGTGATGCTTGGTACCACAAGCCTCGTATTCGGCTTGGCCAGTGGCAGCATCATTATCCTGTTCACCGTTCTGCTCGTCGAGTACTTTGGCCTGGAGAAACTGCCCATGACCATCGGCGTTATCTCTCTCGTCATTGGACTGGCTACTTTTCCCAGGCCGCTGCTCATAGGTACGATACACAGGCGTTCTTATCCTCTATACGGCCTGCGATTCCTCTGCTCATTGCGCACCTCGTGCCCTTGTTTTCCCCCCAAGCGCCTTATGTGGTTTTTAATGTGAAAGCAATAACTGGTCCCATGAAGCGAAGCCGCATTGTCTGTAGCCGTTGTCTGTAGCAGCGAAAAACGGCATCTAAATTCCCATTGGCTGTGCTAAACGGTACCTGAACTCCCATTGGCCAAACGCGCAGAAACGCAGAAGCTTCAGAAGCTTCAAACAAAATTCGGCCAAGTGTCTTGGCCGAATTTTGTTTTCCCCCGACCTAAACCAATGACAGCGTGCGTGTGGCTGCCTCGTCACCGCGCGTTTTCTACGCGTTCTCTACGTTGTCTTCGGTCTTATTGGCATGCTCCTACTGGAGACGCATGTTGGAACACTTGCTCGCCGTATAGCCACTCACAGCTTGTGAAACACAGTGCGTGCTTCGGGATTTGCTTCAGGATTTGTTCTTTGTCACTCTTATCGGCTAACACCGCAAGCTTATCGGCTGCGTAGTGATAATAAATTTCTCAATACTTGCCACGACTTGCGTTTCTTAAACTGACAGGGACGACTGTCATCCACAAAGCTCCCTGCAGCCGAAGCTTTTCGATGAAAAAATGTTAAAATTTGGGTTATTTTTAATTATTGACTAAAGGACCGTGGAACCAGATTCATTTGCCACGAACTATATAATTATTTACTGGAATACGATGATTCACATGTGCCCATGACACCGCGGCACTCGTGCCAGAAATACGTTCGGTGAGCACGATGTTTAATGAGAAACAAAAGTTGCAAACGACCACACGAAGTGTGATTTGATTGACAGCGGCAGCTCTTGCGTTGGTGTGCCTCAGAATAAATGCTGTAGTAACTTTGATAGTCGTATAAAAATTGCGGTAGATGTACTTTAAAAGATATGTGAAAGTCGCTAACGCGATGCATCTTGTGTGCGATGGTAGGCGTCCTGCATGCGCCCTTTGCTGTTCTCCTCCCATTTCGGCCCTCGGTCTACTCTGCTCAGTAGTTCATAATAGGTAATTACACTATACTCGCATAGTCTGGTTCATGTCTGAGTTGGGGGGGGGGGGGGGGGTAGCGGCGACGAGAGAGAGATTGTGCGAGGGCAACGCCGTTGTCCTCCAAATCTTTACAACGCCAAAGGAACGAACGAAGGTAACGCGAGGGGGATGGTGATGAACAGATAAAAAGCCTGGCGGTAAAATCCCTCTCATCTCGAGATGACGACTTTAGCATACGGTCTCACCGGATTTCCCTGAAAGGGGCACTAACAGCTGCAGCTGTAAAACCAGCCTTTGGTAGGGTGACGCGCTCTTCTCATGATCGTGATACTCTTGTTTCCTTAACTGCTACCTTGGGGAACTATATTTCGCGCCGCATTATACGTCTAAAACCAGCCGACGAGATAATCCCAAGCAGTCAGTAAAGCAGCGTCGAAATTGTATCGTCACGGCAGTCGTCGTCAGCGTGCGTTTGCTATCACTGCCTAAATCAATCATGCCTAGTGAATGCACCGTTATCTTAGGCGTTGCTCTCTGCCTGATTGGTTTATCGCGTGATTGGAAACACGTAGAGACGACGAGCGACGTGATAGTGCATTCTTCACACTGCGCGATTTGCTCTATCATGTCGCAGCGTCGCCTGTACTCGGACTCAGCGTGAAACAGAGTTTAGAGCTGTGCTAGCTCATGCTCCACTGAGATCTAGATCTGCACTGGTAGATTACCTCTGTGCACTGAATGGGACGAAGTATTCTACAAAGAAACCAGGGACCCTTAACTTGTGAAGCAAAAAGTTGGAGTCATCGTCGTGATAGGCCAATTGGTGGGCTCCTTCAACTTTGGCCCCAACTTTGCGTTTGACGAGTTTAGAGGCCCAGCACAACATTCAACTCTAGGGCTTTGCTTCTTTTCTTGGATGCGGCAGATACACACATGTAGAAGAGTATGCCGGTGACACCATTTGGTGAGCATCTCGGCTATTCGTATGACGTGGCCACTTCAGTAATGATGGGTCATATTGAGTAATATTACGATTAAAGTATATACTTAATCTTACTTATTCATTACCAGACAACCACTATGAGAAGTGTACAAACCACGGAATTCCTCAACCCGAAAAGTCAAGTTTCCTTGACAGTCAAGTGATGCTCTCGCGTGTTGTCCGTTCACTTTCTGAAAATGCTGCTTGTCAACTATCTGTAGACGTTGCCTGACCATAGTCACCGGATGTTTAGGTGTAAGGATATTGCATTCACCAGCCAGCTTAACTTTGGGCGGGTGTGATTATGGTTATAGGCTCATTCACGATTGTAAAATGCACTTTTGAGATCCCATATCATCTGACATAGAGCCGTGCGCCAGTGAGTGTGCATCCCTCTCAGCCTTTTCATTCTGAGCCTCTCCGGACCCCCCTGCCACTGCAGTGCCGTTCTGATGCACAGTTCAGCACAAGCGAAAAGTTTGTTTGATCAGACTGAAACAAAATATTTCCGACGGTACTTTGCTCAAACATCTCGAAATTGTCATGCTTGTGATAACGTTTCTGAATAGTTAAAATCCCGGTGATATCATTTGTGTAGCAATACTCATACTGTCACTTGCGGCAAAATGGCATGAATTTTCGCTACAATCACTTGCTCGCTTAAGCCAGGAAGTGGGAATGACACGCTACCCACCTGGCAGCCCTAATTCTGCGGTAACGTTGCTGAAATGTTAGCCAAAGTTCAAGATGTGACAAGTCGACGAAGTCCGAGGCATTTGGTTGAAATGACGTTGTACGCAGAGTTCAGCGGAGACTTTTCACGTTACCAGGTGACGTGATCACCTTTACCACGTAACGTGTTTACGTGACGCTAATGACGCCACTTCCATGTTGCTTTTTGCGTTGGGTCCTTCCTACACAGCCCATGTTGTCATATGATTTCACGCTAAAATAACGTCCGTCGTTTCAGGCCACTACCGAGACCGCGGCAAGTCGTACGAGAGCCTGTATGTTCTGCTGGCTGCGATGTCCTTTGGAACATGCATCGTCTGGGTCATCGAGTGTATTCGGCAGTGGATCGCCAGCAGAAAATCGAATCACATTGAAAATCTACAAGTACAACAGGCGACCACATCAACTTAGCTGCGTTGTCTGAGGCATTCGAATTCGTTCATTTAAAAGGCTAAAAACCGTAAACAAAACGAAGACGATAAAGGCACAAAGACGACAGGACGAGCGCTACTCATTCGTTCAACTCAAATAATATCAAATACTCCACTTAAGGTATGTGAACAGAGAACCTCTGGTGCGCCGTCGAGTGTCTGTGATTAGTCTTAATATAGAGTGGACAAGCAGCTCAGACGCCGACTGGGGTTTGTTTTTGCATTATATGAAATCACTGTCATGTAAAACTTATGTATCCCCGACGCACACACACACTCACAGAAAGAATGCACCCAGGAGTACAATTCAACTAATTCATTGACTCGTTTCTTGTTACAATGGCAGTATTTCTTTATCTGTCAAAATAATGCGATACCACCAGCGACTTCTGAGTTAAGGATAGTCACTTCCTATATAGTTTCAGGACGTGACACATCGCAATTTTGCGTGTTTGATTTCAGCACCCTTTCTGTGAGGAAGGAGGCTGCAAAGCTTTTTTGGGTATGAGGGAATGACTTTCAAAAGTGCAGTTCTGCTAGCTTGCTTCAAAGGGACCCATTGTGCGGGTCTTCAGGAGCCGCTCGGTCGGCGGGGCTCCTGCAGACGAGTGGAATATTTCTTTTTCAGAGGCTGTTCTTGTGTACTCTGCTCATGTACGCGAGTGTGTTATCATGTCCTTATCACGTGTGCATAGTTTCCAATTACCACTCTCTAATGCTTACAGTGTATCTTATATAAAAATCAAGAAGTAACATTTTTGATAAGTTAAGTTGGTTTTGAGCTCACCAGGTGTACAGGCGAAGGGGGGGGGGGGGGGGGGGGGGAGTGATGCAGAGCACATGCAGGAAGACTGCATACACCGACAGGCCTGGTTTGTCCTAGTAATGTATGTTGAAAATGGAAAGATTCGGGTGTTCTCAAAAGCATCCCCGCTCCCAATGGTCGCCAAATTAATGGTGTTGACTGTGGGAGTAAAACCTGCAGTGTGCACGAGCTTCCCTTCGGTCGAGGGTCACTCATGATGTAATACTGGTGCCCCCCCCCATAATGCCACAGAAAAATATAGACACCAGCCATTAGTGTTTGTGCAGGCTCTTCTATCCCAAAAGCGCGAGGTTGCTTGAAGTGACATCCCTGCATGGGAGAGGACGGCCAATATGACGAATGATGGTGTAAGCTGCCCGCACAGCAACATTATACGAGGGTTACTCAGAAAGAAATGCTCAGCTTTTGTAATCTCTGTATTTTGATGATAGCCACACAAAGGACGCTGCCGTAGTAGTAAGGGAAACCGGTGTCTGTGAATTACTCGTTTATTGATTGCGGTATCGTGCCCGACCCTAGTGTACACGTTTATGGTTTGTGTCTGTTACTTTGTTTGTCAGGAGATTAGAACGTTACAACTACTTCTCTTCGGCGACATTGAGGGGTATTCTGGCCCAATGACAAGCGGACAAGAGGAGGAGTTAGAATCTATCTGTTGTGTCCACTACTTAAAGGCTCGAGAAGTGTCACGCCGACGTGCTTGCCACCCTGAAACAATTGCGTAAAGTCGTAAACTATAGTGACGCTGCCGTTGCCTCATTCAGAGCTAGGGTAGAACACGACCGGATTTATAGGAGAGACCCGGTCACCCGCTGCTGTCTTAGCGCGCAGCATTTGCTTTTGCTTCTTTTGTACTTTTTAGTTCGCTCAACCGCCACCGTGCCTTCTGGCGCTGTAACTCGACCACACGCAGAGACATATATACACAGACGCGGCGACAGCCGACCGTGTGAATGTGACGGCAGCACGACCTGCGGTGGGTGCCTTGAGCACTTCTGGCGTTTGTTTTAATTGCTCCAGGTTCCCACCGCGATCGCGTCTAGGTGTGCTGTCATGTAAATAGTTTCCTCGCTTTTGCCCACGCATAGCAGCTCGCGATGGTGTGCTGCTGCGTTCCGCTCTACAAGGCGAGGGGGAGGACAACAAGCGGAGCAGGGGTTTTCCCAGAAATTGAACTTAGGGAGGGGGGGGGGGTTAGATATTTAGGGGAGGGGGTTTAGGGGGGCATTGAGAATAGAGGAGTCGTTACGAATTATGGGTGTGCTTTTAGCAAAACAAGGGGGTGTTTAGAGAAATCACTGAAGCGGAGTCGCTTTCCAGGAGTTTTTCGTGTTTAAAGTGCGGGGCCAGGGGCACCTTATCTGAAGTGCGGAACCAGTTGTTCAATAACACAAATGTGTGTGAATTGAGACTATTCAGTTAAACGAGTGTGTTAATGATTTTAGCATTCAATAAAAGTTAAAACACACATGTTTGTGAAACGCTTGCCCTACGTGTCTTCTTTTACAAAATAGTTAACCTTAAAATGTTTAATATTGAGTAGAGCATTCCAAGGTGGCACTTTCCTCGGGGAATGGTCTAGCCCTTCGTCTTAATCAACCTTAAGAAGAAAAACACGTGCTCTTGTTACTTTGCGAAAGAGTGTGCAGAAGCAAGGATTTTAGTCTCAAATCGGCATCAGGCAGCATTTTTATCGACGCACGAATACGTTAACTATGCCAATAGTTCACGTAATCGTTTTGAGAGCAGTTGAAACGTGCAGAAGAAGAAAGCGCGGAAAAGTATTACGGAGAATCGAATTCACATGAGCCGCGGCCGGGAGTGCAGCCTCCAGGAGCTTATTTCAGGATACAAAGTATTTTTCTGAAGAAAACTATTGCAAAATGATTTAGTTCAACGTAATGTTACCTGCAAGATAGGTTTTAATAACATTGTTTGTTTATTTAATAAGAACACATACGTCTGAAACCAACCTCGCCTTCACACGCCCATTCACGCCCTGTAAGATCTCATTACGGCGTACGTGCAGACGCGCTTTTCAGTGGCCAGAGCCGCGGATGGAGAGAGTCTGGCCAGTGAATGTCGCGTCGAAGGCGCTGGAGAGGAGAAAAGTGAAGGAAGGGGAAGAGAGCACTGAAGGAGCGAAAGAGAAAGAAAGGTGCAAAGAGGAGACTACCGCCATTTTGACGCACCAGTCAGTCAGAGTCTTGAGAGCAAGGAAATCAAAGGAAATGTTGCTTAGCCGGAAGCTCAATATGTCACCTTTGATTTTGACGCACCGCTGTCGGCGCGCCAATCGCTGTTTAGGCAACGCGTCGTCTGTTACGGGCTTATTTTTCGCCTGGATAAAGGTTTGCGTTCAAACACAGAGTTATTACAATAAACGCTAGAGGCTCAGCTGGCGTTAGTCTACGGGGCTTCCGGTTGCAAATTGAAGCAGACAGCATGTAGTCTACATATCCAGCCTCCCTGTGTATTTCTATGGGAAAATGCGCGTGAATTTTGTTTCTTCGCCGGAAAATAACATAAATAATTTTTGTTATTTCGGTTGTGCCGTATAGTATGTACCTTTATTGGTATTGTGAAAGTGAAATTGCTTTAGTTACAGCATTTTGTTTTTACCACAGAACGATGTTAAACTTCGCTCAATTTCAGGCCCAAACCTCTGTTGCATGGAAGGTATGTAAAAACGAGTGACGATTATAAGCAAACTAGCGATCAAAAGGAATGTAGACTTTGTTCAAGGCTCGCCAGCATTTCGGTGGTGCTTATATATTGCTAATGTGTCCGTCCTGTCATTGGATGAAAACGACTCCGTCGTGCATCTTTACGATCGGTTAAAAAAACAAAAAAAATTCGATTGCAAAAAATAAAGTACGTGAGCTACGAAAGGTGTGTCTTTTTATTATTTCCTATGTCGGGCAGTTTTTATCGGGTACTGTAACGAACGCCGTCTTGGAGACCGACAGGCGTCCAAGCGACCTTCCAAGAAGCCAGCAGACGTGGGAAAACGTCCAGGCATTTCTACGTTCCAAGAACCTATTGGGCTCCCGAAAGCTCAAGGACAAGCGGCGGCGGCGAGACGAGAGTGCTGGTCAGCGACCTTTCAAGAGGCCCGCTGACGTGGGAAGAAGACCAGCCACTCGACCTTCCAGGAATCCCACAGTGGCCCACGAGTTCAATGCATCCTTTCCCGAACTTCCCAGGTGGACCCCACCCGTCGGGCGCCCCGCACCCAATTACCTTCCCTTCGGAAGAGGAAGCCGCTGCAGCAGCAATCATGGATGCGCGCCGCGCCGACCCCGCCGACCCCTCGGGGGACAAGCGGACACGTCTTTGGGACAGCTAATCTGCATGGTGTTGATGGCGTGTGTGGGCGGAGACGGGGGTGTGTCGCTGTGTGTGAGGGAGGAGCTGACATAGCTAGCTGAAATCCCTACGTGGGGAATGTAGGGAAGAGCGTCCCGTTAAACGAAGCGGACTTCTTCGGGACTCCTGTTTTCTGATGCTGTTTTTCGACCCTGTACAAATGTAAAGTAAACCCGTTGTCAGAAGCGGCCCTGCTTTCGAGCTCCTTCTGCCTGATGTCCTGGTCGGTGCCTGGCTCCAGCGGAGCCCGACAGCAAGGACGACCCGGAGCTGTTACAACTGGATGGCAGCCGGTGGGATCGAGTTCCACGACCAGTGAGCGGCGGCGCCGAAAGATTTCATGGACCGTGATCCAAGTCTGGTGAGTGACGGCATCCTTTCCCTTTCGCTGGCCTGTAAAATAGAGTTGAGATTTTGCAGGGGCGTGGGGACTACCTTAAAGTTTGGAAGTTTTGAAGTTGGTACTTCTTGGTAGTGGAGCAGAGTTTGCCGCCCAGATAGGTCGCGGACATGGAGCTGCAGCGCTTGCTGAAATCGGAGTTGCTCGACTTGTGTGAAGAGCTTGGGGTTGAGGCGGGCACATCAATGAAAAAAATGGAGCTCGTTAAGGCTATTCAGGAAGAGGGTCTTTACAACGATGAAATTGAGGTAATGTGGAAACGAATCAGAAACCGAAACGAAGACGAAGCAAAATTTAAAAAAATTGGAACTTGAAAAACTTCGTTTAGAGGTGGAACTGAGGAAGACGAACGGAGGACCAGAGATGGAGGTAGCAGGCAGCCGAAATCTCTATGACATGTCGAAGCTGATACAGCCATTTAAGGTATGACAGGACATGGGTCTCTACCTTGTAAACTTCGAGAGGGCATGTGAAGGGGCCCGTTTTAACCGGGACTCGTGGCCCAAAAGGTTGCTGGGTGTACTGCCCTGCGAGGCAGCTGGGGTAATCGCCAGGCTAACTGCGGAAGAGGCGGACGATTACGAGTGTGTGAAGGGCTGTTTGCTCAAAAAGTACCGCCTGTCGGCGGAAGCGTTCCGACAGAAGTTCCGAAGCGTGAGCAAAAAGCCAGAGGCTAGCTACGCGGAGTTCGCGTACGAACTGAGGTCGTATCTTATCGAATGGATGAAGGGAGCCAAGTCGTATGACGACAAAGAAAGGATTCTGGAGGTGGTCGTGCTGGAACAGTTTTATAAGACACTAAGTGAACCCATGCGGACTTGGATCCAAGACAAAACAGATGTAGACTCCGTCTACAAGGCCGCGGATTTCGCGGACGAGTATAGCTCGCGCAGAAAAAACAAAGAAGGAACGGGGAAAAGCTTCGAAAAAACAAACTGGGACGAGCGACGCGGAAAGGGATGGAAAGGGCGAGAGCCTGCGGGAAGGAACACTGAGGAAAATCAGGGGGATGAGGAAACGAAAGCATCCCAGGGCAGTGACGCGGACGATAGGCAAAAGAAGAAAGCATTCGAGGCAAGGAAGCCTATAACGTGCTTCAATTGCCATGAGACGGGGCACATTGCCGCAAGATGCACTAAACCAAGGGTGGTTTTCGCCTACGCTAGTCAGTGCGCGGAGTATGATGAGCTCCTGAGCCCGTACCTGTTCGACATGACGGTAAACGGGAAGGCATGCCGCGTGTTGCGCGACAGTGGAGCCACCATTGACCTTGTTCACCCTACTTATGTCACCGAAGCCAACTACAATGGAAAGTGTAGTTGGATCAAGTCGGTGTTAGACGAGAGGGAGCGTGTGTCTTCCCGTGGCGGATGTCCTCGTTTCTGGTCCGTTCGGAGAGGTTCGCACTGAGGCGGCGGTTTCGGACAAACTGCCGCCGCAGTACCGTTACTTGTTTTCTAACCGAACAGAAAAGATTCTAAGAGAGCAGGGCAAAAGCCTCGGGGAGGGTCTCGTTCAGGCACTCATAAGAGCTAAAGTTCGCGAGCTGTCCACGCGGTTTGCTTATTACGATGCCAGTCCGGGAAATCTAAAAGACTCTCCAGTAATGGTTTTAGAACAGAGTAGCCCTAAAGAGACGAGGAAAGGGGTAGAAAGCGAGAAAACACCCCCGTTAGACGGGGACACCCCCTACGAGCACCTGACGCAGACAGATGGGGTGCTATTAGCCCCTACCTCAAAAGGCTTCGAACAGCTCGTCTCCGAAACAAAGGTAGTGCTCATCGAAGAGCAGAGGGCCGATCCCAGTCTGACCAAGCTTTGGGAAACTTGCAAGGATGGCGTGGCGCGAAAAAACGTCACCATTCCTGTCCGCGAGGACGTACTGTACTTTGACAAGTTAATTTTTGTGATTGCGGGCCTGGTGATTGCGGAGAGGGTGGCGTCGCTTGCTGGATTTGTGTGTTGCGGTCTGTGTTTCTTTGGAGTGTTGGCCACTCTAGACGACCTCAAAGCTGATCTCTTCAGGAGAGCAGCGGAAACTCCTCCCCTTCAGAGATCTTCCCGTCCGTGGAGGAGCTGTAACGAACGCCGTCTTGGAGACCGACAGGCGTCCAAGCGACCTTCCAAGAAGCCAGCAAACGTGGGAAAACTTCCAGGCATTTCTACGTTCCAAGAACCTATTGGGCTCCCGAAAGCTCAAGGACAAGCGGCGGCGGCGAGACGAGAGTGCTGGTCAGCGACCTTTCAAGAGGCCGGCTGACGTGGGAAGAAGACCAGCCACTCGACCTTCCAGGAATCCCACAGTGGCCCACGAGTTCAATGCATCCTTTCCCGAACTTCCCAGGTGGACCCCACCCGTCGGGCGCCCCGCACCCAATTACCTTCCCTTCGGAAGAGGAAGCCGCTGCAGCAGCAATCATGGATGCGCGCCGCGCCGACCCCGCCGACCCCTCGGGGAACAAGCGGACACGTCTTTGGGACAGCTAATCTGCATGGTGTTGATGGCGTGTGTGGGCGGAGACGGGGGTGTGTCGCCGTGTGTGAGGGAGGAGCTGACATAGCTAGCTGAAATCCCTACGTGGGAATGTAGGGAAGAGCGTCCCGTTAAAAGAAGCGGACTTCTTCGGGACTCCTGTCTTCTGATGCTGTTTTTCGACCCTGTACAAATGTAAAGTAAACCCGTTGTCAAAAGCGGCCCTGCTTCCGAGCTCCTTCTGCCTGATGTCCTGGTCGGTGCCTGGCTCCAGCGGAGCCCGACAGCAAGGACGACCCCGGAGCTGTTACAGTACCTGCACTATTTGCAACGATTTGAGCGTGCGGGTGATGATTTGAACCCAGAACTAGAATCTTCGGACATATTCATGAGCAGAAAGAATAAAGCAGTACTTATTTATTGCAAATCTGACTATATTACGTGGCTTTCAATTTATTTTGATCGTCTGCATGCACAAGGAGTTACTTATCCTGTGTTACTGCGTAGTTCTTGCCGTCTCTCTTGGTTTTCGTCGACGCCGTGTTCGCGCTAACAGTGTCCGACAGTGCACATAAATACAAGTACGAAGCGGTTTTAGCACCGTTTTTGATGCCACAAATTTCAAATAAAATGCTGTAACTGACCAATTATTTCGTCTGCGTGACTGAGAAATGTTCCAATGTGCCTAGTACGTACAAATTATTCGAAATTTTTGCTCTTATAATCGAGCGCACAGAGACAATGCACTCGCTTTTTCCCATAGAAATACATTACCGGAAGTCAATGTCTGACTGCTTACTGTCTGCTTCAAAATGTAACAGCACACTAGCGCCACCTGAACCTCTAGCGTTTATTGCAATAACTTTATGTTCAGACATGAAGAAACTTACTTATATAATTTTCTTGATAGAGCCTGCGAAATAAAAAGAGAAAACCAAAATTTTGATGTCGATCCCATGCATTCCGGTATGAATTCCGCCGGGCAAATGAATGAAAATGGCGGCCCTCCTCGCTCAGCCGGGAGCAGCCGGGTGTTCACGCGCATGCGCTGATGCCTCTCGCTCTGCGCCGTGGGCTGACTGGCTCACTCGGGAGGGGGGCGTTTTGATTCGTCCCCCCCCCCCCCCCCCCCTCTCTCCCAGGATCAAAATGTTGGCTACATGCCTGGATAATGTATAGATAAATACATCGTAGGCGCGGATCACTCAAAAACTGCATTATGCGAAGATGAGCAGGAGGCGCGGGCTCGCGCGAGGATCGAACGAAAGGCAAGCAGGGCCGACGATCCCGGAAGGCTCCTGGAAAATCCGTTCACTGGGTAGATTTAATCCATGTAAATAGTGTAAATAAGTAGGTAGGACCTAATCGTGGTCCCTACAAAATTAATAAATAACCGGGTGACTGTGTGGGCCACGCAGCCTTCCAGCTTCGTAAAACATCCACCCGGAGGGCTATTGGCTTTGCGGGTTTCTCAAATTAGGAGTGCGGAATGCATGCGCGAGATATGGTGGTTTCAATATGTAAGCATGATTTACATGTTCCCAAAACAGTCACAATCCTCAGAAAGTCAGCCTATAACGCTGAAACCTGCTTTAAATAAGGAACGATCGAAAAGATAAATGTGTACCCCAGGCGCGGGAATCTTAGCAGACCTCTGTTTTCGTACAGCGCGCACAAAGTATTGTGTGCCTAACTCGCAGGATATGATGGCCAACGAAATGTGAATGAAATTTATATTTGCAGACCCTTACAGCCACTTAATTAAGTTGGAAGGGCAGTAAGAGTGGGTTTCTACATTAGGAAGTCTTAGTGAATCCTTTTTAGCTCTTCGATAACCGTATACTTCACAACGATATATAAGCTAGCCTTGCTGTGAGCATTCTCTATTGGGCACGGATATCGGAGCGGAAAACACAATATTAGGGAGGTTTCGTAGATCGTCTCCGCTGTGCCGCAACGTTTTCCGCAACCGGCTTCGATATCCGCGACTCTGCAGGCAAGGATAGCACCGCGCATGCGCAGTAGTGGCGTCTTCATTTCGGAGAGCGTTTCGGAGGTTGAATAATGGTCCACGAAGACTCTTTATTAAAACCCCTATTGGGGAGTTTAGCGCGTCGTGCTATCGGTCAACCTTGCTTGTATCGGCGCTATAGCACGGGCTGCTACTTCAAAGTATTATTTGGAGTCTTCAAGAAACTAAAGCAAGCATCCCCTTTTTTAACATGTCACGGGACTGTAATTTGCCATTATAAAAGCATTATAGGTACACTCCACCACGCACTTAGCACGAACAAACTAGCGCCGGTTTTCCCGATTTTGTTTTCTCCTTAGAAGTTAATAATGTTTAGAAAACTGTTTTATTCAAAGTATCCAACCTAGGTGGTAGATCTTCGTGCTAGACAATACATATTGCTGGGAAACAGTAGCGAAAAGCGCCGATGTGGTGTTCGCGCTAACTGTGTCGCGTAATGTACGCATGGCTCTACGCGATAAGAGTAAATCAATGTGTTTATTCTACAAAGGAAATTGTTGATTGCTTGATAGGTGGAAAGTTATTTTTATACAAGCAATTCGGCCAAGAATATCAAATTGCTTGACGTAGATAATACTCCAAACCAGCAGTACTAGAGCACACTCGCAAAATGTCTATCAGGCGCAATGGAGGTTTTGTTAAATTGTTCGAGAAATGAACTTGTCTCTTACTTTGCGTGACACAGTTATCACAAGCGCAAAATTAACATTCTAACGCAAGGGTCATGCAGATTTTAATGTACAAAAACAAATTGATGCCCTAAATTGGTGCCCAATAGAAGCTGTCTTTCCCGACTCGCTTGTATAGGAATTAAAAATATTCATTTATAAAAAAAGATTGTTCGGTAATTATATTTATTGACTTACTCTGCTTGCACTGATCGTGTAGCGGTATTCGAACATTGCGTGACACTGTTAGCGCGAACACGACAGAGGCGCCCCCCCCCCCCCCCCCCTCTATATACTGTCTATCTCTAAGGTCTACCGCTTAGGTTGGATTCTCGCATTAACAGTTTTCTAAATGGCATTCACTTCTAACAATAAAAAAGAATGAGAAAAATCGCCGATAGATAGTTCGTGCTAACTTCATAGCGCAGTGTACCTACGTTTTTAAAATGACAAATTACAATCCTGTCATATTAAAAAAAAAATTCGCAGCTTTTTCTCTAAAATTTTGAAGACTCTAAATAACGGTTTGAAGTGTCAGCCCGTGCTATTGCACCCACACAGGCAACGTTAAACGGTAACATGACAAGCTAAACTCCCCAAATACTGGATTAATATTGCGTTTTACGCTTCCATAGCCGTGCTCGATAAAGAATGATCATAGGAAGGCTAGCTTATATATCGTTGGGAGGTAGGGTTATCGGAGAGCTAGAAACGATTTACAAAAACTTCCTAATATCGACACTCACCCTTGCTGCCCTTCCAATTCATGCGGCTGTTGGGATGTGTAAATGTAAATTTCATACACATTTCGTAGGGCATCATATCCTGCGAGTTAGGCACACAATAATTTGTGCGCTCTGTACGAAAATAGAGATCTGCTAAGATTCCCGCGCCTGGTACACATTTATCTTTTCGATCGCTCCTCATTTGAGGCTGGTTTCAGCGTGATAGGCTGGCTTCTTGAGGATGCTGAATGTTTTGTGAACATGTAAGTCATATCTCTTGGAACCCCCACATCTCGCGCACGCGTTCTGCCCTCTTTATTCGAGAAATCGAGAATAAGTATGAAAAGTACGTTCAATGGGTGTGGGGATGCATCGCAGCTTTCCAGTAAAGACCCCCTCACACTGAGGCCACATTTTGACAACTCTATCCGGCAACACGAGGACATCGTGTTGCCGGCAACCCTGTCACATCGCGCCAACAACAACAGTTGGGCAACATGTTGCTGCCGCCCGGCAACAGTGTTGTCCGAATTGTTGTCCGACTACCCTGTCACACCGCGCTGATGGCGGGGACAACATGGGAACAATCCGCCATCTTTAATTTTTGCCTTCGTTCTTGCGCGGCGCGGGGTACGCTGGAAATGTGACTACAAAGTGCTAGTGCGTTCGAAGGGCCGTAAATTACCCCGGAAGAACATCAACCAGTGACTGGGATTAGAAAACTTGACACGGCGAGTGTTTTCGACCCTTTATTTTATCAAAATGTTCTTCATTCGCTGACAAAGCAGAGAGCCCTAACCGAGGAAAGTGAGATCGCTGATATACAGGGTGATTCAAGGAGACGCCAGGCTCTTTAAATCGACAGCAAAATTCGATTTCTTAACCTATCGCGCTATGACTTTGTGCAGCGTTGCCCACAGATGGTGCATTTTTTTTTGTGAAATTTGCAAGGAGCGAACTTACCTGAGGAAAAAGTAAATAAAGAAAAAAGGCTTAGCTCATATGGAAACGCAGCGACGCCACCGGTCTTCAAACAACACGGAACCGCTTCGCACGGGAGACAAGAGATGGCGCAAGCGGTCGCGACGCCAACTGCCTCTAACAAACGAGCATACGACGCCGAGAGCCGGCGTCTTTAGGAGACAAGGAACTGCAGTTCCTTGTTTTTACCGCGCCTGTTTTTGTTTCTGCGACTGTCGCCGCCTGCGGAACGCGCGCCGCTTTCGAGTCGAAAAGATCGTCTGCTTAAAGGGGTAGGGAAACGAAATTTCAGCGATCATTTTCTAGCTTTAATGTGTTGCCTGTTGCACCCTAACCTCAAAAACACCAGTCTTTCGTTGAAAAGCACAAGAAAACTAATTTTAAAGCTAAATAAACGATCTTCAATGTGCACCTGGTGGATGCATGCGGAGCATATTTGGGAGGTAGTCTAGCAACGTTGTGGAATCTGCTACGTAGTCGTGACGTAGCAGATTCCTTCGGAGCAGCGCCGCTCTTTGGCATTTCAACGTTTTCCTTCTTAGCTTTCCTCCTGAACTCACAAATCGCGCATTGTACCAAGCGGTCCAAGAAGACGGAACGGAAGGACTCCCCTCTTTCTCGCACCCTCGTTCGTGCAACCGAAAACAGCCATTCTCCCCCTAGAAGATTAGCCCGTCGCTCAAAACTCGAACAAAAGTTGCTTTCTCCACCTCGTTCAGCACTAAGCTGACAGTGTTGTGGAAGCTACGTGCTCCTGGGGCCAGCCACACGCTCGTCACCCCACGGGTACTTCGAACGTCTAGGTTGTAACGCGCTGACGCTGTTGACACCACCGCAACGCTGACAACGCCACCAAGGGCTAAGCTCATAATCACGCCAGCCTTGCTACGTCACGAACGCGGGGTATCTTTTCTTTCTGTTTTTGTTTGCGCCGGATATCCCATAACGCATGGCGCTCTCCGTTCGCTTCTCTTCGAGCGCTTGCTCGAGTGCACCGTTTGGAACGAAAAATATAGCCAATCGTTCAAAATACAAACGTGCGATTACCATTTACGGTTATTATCCGTCATGCTTGACTCATTTACGAACGAAATCTGAATATTTCAATTTTTGTTTCCGTACCCCTTTAAGACGCCGGCTCTCGGCGCCGTATGCTCGTTCGTTGGCGGCGTTCGTTGCGCCATCTCGTGTCTCCCGTGCGAAACGGCGCCGTGTTGCTTGAAGACCGGCGGCGTCGCTGCGTTTCCATAGAAGCTCAGACTTTTTCTTTCTTTACTTTTTCCTCAGGTAAGTTCACGCGTTGCAAACTTTACAAAAAAAAAAAAAAATGCACCATCTGTGGGCAACGCTGCACAAAGTCGTAGCGCGATACGTTAAGAAACCGAATTTTGCGGTCGATTTAAAGAGCCTGGCGTCTCCTTGAATCACCCTGTATGTTCGGGATTTACGCCACCGTGTGAAGCCTTTCTGTTCGGTTCTTACCCTCATGCAATTCTATTTCTACTGTAAAATTGAGTAGGCACTGGCAATGCTCCGAAGTGACTTTTGTGGTGTTGAGATGAACTGACAGTGTTTCAAAACTGCGACGCCGACACGATCGGCCTTCGTACCAATCGGTGGAATAACACTTTTCAATGCTGTCTATTTGCCTGCCGCCAGCCTATGCGATCGCTTCATTCCCCCAAACGTTCTGGGTATTTTTTAAACAAATCAGGTGTCTGGTGGCGGCTGTTTCTAATTTTCAAGCACAAACAATCATGATCAGAGTGGTCGTTTTAATGCTTCGATTTCTAATATTTTATTTCTTGGATTATTTTTATTATAGTTTATCAGCGGGTGAGTAGGCATGCCATTTTATTTTACTAGCAGTTATGTGAGCTGGTCTCTCGGCGGTTTTAATTTCAACACCAGTCTCAACGTTCACGAATTCCTGGCTGTGGCCATTTCGACAATCGCTTTCCTTAATTACGCTTTAAAAAAATTCATAAAATATTTTAGCTGCATGCCAGCCTTAATTATTGTTAAATAACGTTTTCCAAGCCTTTGTTTGAGTAATATGTTATTGATGGGGAACTGGCTCTGCCGTCGAAGTCATCTGAGTTGTCGTGTTGCCGGCCCGAAATTCGCTCAGCCAGCGGTCAGGGCGACACACGTTGTCCAGCACAAGTTGCTGCTGTTTTTTTTGCCTAAAGCTGTCATACCGAGGCAACAGTTTAGTTGTCGTCCATGCTGTGCTGCTGTTGCCGCGATGTGACAGGTTTTTCGGACAACATGGGGAGCGAGCAACAAGTTGCCCGACTATTGGACAGCGTGTTGTCTTGCCGTTTCCGTCGTGTTGCCTCAGTGTGACAGGGCCTTAAGCGTTTACTTTTCCGCAGACTGCAGCTCAACAACTTCGACACCTAAAGTGGATGACTGCCAGGATGCAGCCTTTCAGCTCCGTGAACTTTCACTGGGAGGGCTAGGGTTCGCGTGGGGCTAAAAAGCCTGCTGGTCAATCTGGGCTTTTCTAGGCTTATCGTCTCAGAAGAAGCCTGTACAAAAGGGGACCTTCCCCCCCCCCCCCCCTCCCACCTCGCCATGCTGCTAGACAAGAGGGAAAGGGCGAAAACGAGGGCGAGGAGGACTTTCCGCTAGGTGGAAGAATATTTCAGCACGTCCCGCTTTAAGGTTTACCGGAGTGAACGCTACGCGCTTTACAAACTAATGCATCGCCGCGGGCCTAAGATAAAATATAGTGCAGCTTTATTCTCTCCCCTAATGATGTATAGTCAATGGAAGCTTAAAATATGAAGGGCGTGGCTAGGTACAGGGCATGTAATACTATCGGTTCACAGCCAATAAGAATGCGGTATTAACCAATAAGACAAACCTAAAACAAATCCCGAAGTAAAAAAAAATCTCTGACGTAATGCGGGTTAAAGCGAGAGTGTTACAATATTGAATACTTAAAAAAGAACGAGTAAAAACACGGAGGACGTCGACAGACCACAATAAACTACCGGGCACGAAGATAAACATTCCTCGTTCCGTCTTCCTAGGAAGAGATCGTCAGCGATTTGCACTTGAAGTCATCGAAACGTTCTTCACCGAAAAAGCAAAGAAATAACGACTAGTCTGCATCCTTAACTCTGATAAGACGTGAAATGGATTTGATCAGGCTAGGGGGAACTCAAAAAATTATGAACATAGACAATCATGGTACGATGTGACAAATATTTATTTTTAAAACCTTAAAACGTTCAGAAAGTTTATTTAAAACGAGGAACGTTTATTTTCGGGCACGACAATAAACATTCGTCGTTTCGTGTCTCTAGGAAGACATGGTCATCGATTTCGACTTGAAATTATCAAAAGCTTATTCATAAAAAAGAAGAAAAAAAGAACGTCTTATCTGCATTATTAACTCTGACAAGACGTGAAATGGATTTTATCAGGCCATTAGTACAAATAATTATAAACATGAACGGTCACGATACGGAGGCTCATTCTTTATCTGCCTTCCCGATTATAAGCCTTCCGTTGTGTCCTTCCCCACCCTTTATCTGGACCCTGGCCGACGCGGAAATTTGTCGTGCTCGAAAATAAACATCCGTCGTTGCTAGCTGAAAGACTGTGGTTTCTGTAAACGTAACCGGGTTTTTTATTCTTCATGTCTTAAATATTAAGTTGGCCCTGCTTTTCTTAAGCTTTCAGTGTTTACAACTTTCACAAAACTAGTTTTCTCTACGTTGAATTAACCTGGGACTGGAGTAGAAGAGAATCATCCCGCGTTTACCGTGTTCTCCCAGTTGCACAAATGCCGGTTGTTTTCTTTTCTCTCCCGCTCGGCAGATTGCTAATCTGCATCAAAGAACGCTCGTTATCATAAGAAGTTCGCCAGCTCAAGGTTAGATTGGAATACACGAGCCGTACACAGACACGGATAAGGCCCTCCGTCCGCTAAGAAAAGTAAGCTACGAAGTACGCAGCGTACCATTTGGTAGGTTACCTGCCTATCAATGAGTCCGAAATTGGTTGCATGGAAGGGGGCCTGGTAGAAAACGGTTTTCCAGAAAATCGCAGGGCGCTTGAAATGCGTAGTTTTGTGTACTTTCAGGCGCAATACGCGGGAGATCTCAGACGTTGGCTACCGCAAGCTAAGGTGAGCAACATTACCGTTCGTAACTTTGCCTAATTGTTAGATATCTTCGCATCTCTGATACCATAATGAAGTTATTTAATGTTTAGGGCTTAATAAAGCCACAAAAATAAAAATAAAAACGTAAGATGTAGTGGTCATTTTGTTTCTTCAACACAACAGTAGGTTTCTTTAAGCTTGCCAAATGAAATACTTCAGACATTCGGGTTTGGTTCCGTTGCTGCCATGTATGGTGTGTTATGTTGCTAAAGCTGCATTTTTGGTTGCGTATTATGTGTTCACGATTTCCGATTGAAGCTCTGTCGAATGCAGACAGTAAGCAATAAAGAAGCTTTCGTTGCGGTTGCTGCTATTTAGCGTTATGTGGGCTAGTCTGATAACCCTGATAGACATTTTGGACAGTTCATCGCTGCTGCAGAGACAAAGGCCGTAGTGCCAGCGATGGAGCTGTTTTGATTCCAGTACATCTTTTGTGACAATTCTGATATATTGCAAGTACAGTCGGGAGCAAAAGTTTGCGGGGCACGGGAGCGCGTGCCGAAATGACTCGCCGCGCGGTCCGACGGCGCACCGTCGCATTAAGAAGACGCGCTTTGCGCGTGCGCGCCTTTGGTGCTCACAACCATGTCTCTTTCGCTCGTGTCTTTCCGACGCGCTCCTGATAACAGGAGTTGGCGCCAGGGGCTCGAGTTAGCGCTTCGCTGTGATGCTGCGCGTCTGCTGCAGCCGCCTCAAGCCGCCGCGCTTTGTCACGTAACTCGCGGGGGGAGGGGGGAGTAGCCAGGCGCTCAGTCACCCAGCGCGGCTGCTGAGGCAGCTGAAGAGGACGCGAGGCATGACAGCCAGCGAAACGGCAACTTGCGCTCCTGGCGCCGACTCCGGTTATCAGGAGTGAGTCGGTCAGAAATGAGCGAAAGAGACATGACTGCCAGCACGAAGGGCGCGCATGCGCCAAGCGCGGCTTTTTAATCCGGCGGCGCGCCGTTGCACGGCGCGGCGATGCATTTCGGCACGCGCTGCCGTGCCCCGCAAGCTTTTGCTCCCGACTGTACCTTTTGTGTAGTATGTTGATAATTTAATTGGCCTAAATTGGCAGCGACCTGGACAGGTGCTCATAGGAGAAGCTTCTGCTGTAATGCTGCGGCAATTTCGGCGAAACAATTTCTGTCGGGAGTCCTTGTATTACTTAACGTAGCTTTGATGGCCTTTCAGTAGTTCTTTTTTTTTTTTTCTTGTAATAATTCCTCTGGTTATTACACAGCCATAACTCTTGTTCTACCTTGAAGAGCGGGACATTTTTTATGCGACGCTAGCTTAGTCGTAGTGGAAACACCAGACCATGTTGCCTTCTTGGAAAGTTCCACCCTAGTGCAGCGGCCGCGATGCATATAGTTTTCGTATAAAGGGCATTTTGCGTTTTTACGCCCGGTGTTCTAGAAGTCAGTACGTAAAGTAAAGCCAAACGCATCTTTTATTAAAACATATAAAATCGCGCAGCAGAAAGACAAGGACAAGATGTATACAGGGCGGGCGCTATACATATAGCGCCTGTCCTGGCGCTATATGTATAGCGCCTACATCTAGTATACATCTTGTCCTTGTCTTTCTGTTGCGCTATTTTATATGTTTTACTAAGATGAACCAACTAGCCCAACAACGTACCTTACATCTTTTATTCCTTGTGTTTAATCACGACGCGCACTTGGTCGCAAAGCTACGAGTAAAACACAGTCGTACCTCGACCTTAAGAAGCTCAGATGCAGCGAAATGTATGTACAATGAAAAGCTGCTGTGTGAACAGGCCTGCAACCAAATGTTAGATATAGTAAATTGTTATCAATAATACCGATAAAAACGGTGCATATGATCTGTTGTTTTAGAAGGAACCCGCTTCAAAGTCGGATCAGGATTAACGGAGACAGACAAATGTGTAAGGCATCGAACGATCAATATGTTTTAATACACTCCCCTCCCCTTCCCCAATCCAAGGGTGCAGTGTTTTCATCACTAAAATTAAACTGAGAGACATTGTATGACCTGCAGTTACCACGATATCTTCTTGTTTACTTACTATATTTATTTTTGGCTTGGCTTCTTTTTTGCATAACGTCAGTGATTTATGTGTATGTTAATTTGTTTTCTTTTTTCGTCTGTGTTATGATGTACCACCGGAAGGCATGTTGCTCTTAATGAGCATCACTGAATAAAGAAAATAATTTAAACAAACAAATAGAACTAAACATAAAATTAGCAAAAATAATGTCTAAAATGCAAAATATGCTGAATGCTTTTAACAGGCTATCAAAGGCTCGTTGCGATGAGCCCAAAGTGCACGTACGGCGCTGAGTGCTGAGCAGTGATGGGTGCCGACAAAAGGAATGAACAGTCGCTCCCTTACCAAGACTCGCGATGGAGCTGGATCATGGCCCTGGTCTGTAGCTGGTGCTTTTTCTGGACACTCATCATCAACCGCTGCGGAGGAATCGTCTTCATAACCATGATCTCCGAGATGGGTGCTTCGCGGGAGCTGGCGTCGTGGCCCTTCAGTCTTCTGGGAACTGTGTCACAGCTCGTAGGTACACGAACCTCCTTCTTATGTCATTTCGCCTATTCTCCCATTTTAGCTACGGGCAGGGTTACTGTATATTCATATCCCTGAACATCCCGGTGAAGGTGTGGGGCTAACGCCTCAAAGACGTCCGCCCGACGTCCATACGAGCGCGTCCCCAGGACGTCTTTGAAAGCGATAGCTTTATGTGTTAAGCGTACACGAATCTTGCTTGCTCGTGCTAGTTTTGATCGCACCAAAGAAAGGCCGTGAGAGCGAGTGTAAGCAACAGAACGAGGCCGAATCGGCTGGATGTTATGACGAGCGAGACCAATGTTGGAGCGCCGCTCGGAAGGAAGGAAGATAGGCGGTGTGCTAACACCCCCATCCTTTCCTGTTCCCCCTTGGCTTCGTAGGAAGTTGGGTAGAGACTGCGTGTTTGTAGAATAATGTAACAGGTGCAGAGGCATTTCGCTAACAAATTCTATTTGAGTTGGCATTTTAGGCAGTGGAGTAAATCCAGGAAAATGTCAGGGGGAGTCACGAACTTTGCCATGGCAGCCATCTTGATTATTCAAAATATGAATTTTAATTTACACACATATCAAAACTGTACACTAAAACAACAACAAACAAAAAAAACAACGTGCACACATGTTCATATCTAGCGTTATTATAATATTTTTAACGGTTTACAGTGCACAACGAATTAATCTGCTCGAACAACGTTCCAAACTCAAATTATATATAAAAAAAGAACCAATGAAGTCTACACATCAGTCACAAGACGAACGTAGAAAAGCGATGTAAGAAAGAGAAAAGAAACTTGTTTGTTAAATTTGTTTGTTTATATCTTTATTTGAGACAACTCTACAGAAATGTCTCAGGTGACTTGGATAACGGCAGAAATGCCTGACAGGGCCATGCCATCCTTTTGGCAGCAACAGTAGCAAAACATAAAACACAAGAGGAGTAACACGATTTCGCTCCAAAATAAAAATGTATACAAAACCAGTACAGAATCATCACAAAACAGCAGTGCGTTAACTGAAAGTTTCTAGTTACTATTGCTTGCGAGTCACTCGCGTAATATGGCAACTGAGGACTCTAAAATCTGGATTCGTAATAGGTCCCTAAGTTTCCCGGTTTAGAACCTTAGGGAATGACGAAAATCGAGAGCGCGGTTCTTGCATGCGCTAACAAAACTGCCCATCAGCTGCGACAACCCCATGCGGTCTTCAACGTCTTTATGAACATGTGCCAGTGCCACGCAGCTTAGGCGTGTCTCCCCCATGTACTCCGCAGCCATGTTTTTAACCTTCTCAGGGCACTGAACAATCGTTCCGCCTTACAGAAGGAGACTGGCATCACCATGATAACCCTGAGGACACTCTCTACATCTTTGAAGTACTGGACTGTCGACTAATGCATATTCCAAATTTGTAGCTGCCACATCTTCGATAGATCTTAGATTGGAGTGCTTTTCGTGCAACAGGTGCACGGGAGACATGATATCCTGAATCAATGTCTTTGTATCGTCGAATTGCGTTCACATCTGCTTCCGATTGCGCGTTCCAAAGAAAATTTTCCAGCGCCTTATATGCCAAGATTTCTTCCGAATCGGAGTTAAAGCGTCTCTCTATACCCGACAGTGCTGCATCAACTATTGAAAAAAAAATACACGCCGAAAATAGGATCTTGCTTCAACTCGAAAGTCACTGGTGCTCCCTTTCTCGTACTTGGCGGGGCACCATCTGGATCTCGGCGGTTCCACTGCATGTACACTGCCATCCTCAGAAGCTTTGGCAACCTGTTCGAAAAGTTCAGCGAACACTTCTTCAGACCGAAAATGACGTAACTGGCGCTTGGCAGACTGCACCGCCTGCAGCATTCCCTTAACTGTGGATGAACATCAGTGTAGGTATATGTTTATAGCTCCTCAAGCACTCAAAACACCCTCAAATCAATTTCCAACAAAAGGCGCGTGTTTCCCGATTCCATGGCGCGTCGAATATCTCCTATCTCAAAAGCAAGAGACCATAATTGCTTAGCAATTATGGCCTCTTGCTCCTCCAGCGCGGAAGATATCGCTTTGGGCATAGGGGTTTGATGGTTTTACCCTGCTTTTTTTCGCAAAAAAAGCTGCTTGAACTTCTCAGAACGTGCTGAGAGTGCCCCCCTTCCCTAACGGCCATGAGCGCATCTCGAAGTTCTGGACAGCAGTTTTGAGACGCCAGCAACTACAAGGTCGAAGCTGTGGGCCCCGCAGTGAAAGTGAATAGCAAGTGGGTTTTGAGATTTTAAAATCGCTTGGCATCCATTAAATTCCCGGCTCATGTTGGCAGCCCTGTCATAAGTCTGCGCCCGGCAACCAGAGAGTGGAAGCCCAACTCTAGTCAAGAAATCCACCACGGCTTCTGCAATCGTGGCTCCCTTTGTTTTCGGCGGGACACAGAGCCCTAGAAAAACCTTCAACTGGTCTGAGGTTGTCGTTCACATAGTGCACGCATATGCTACCCTGCTCAACACCAGCCATATCCCGCGTGCCATTTACGATGATGGCGTAGTTTGTTGTTGGAATGGCGCTGGCTATGTTTTTTTTTTTTTTTTTTTTTTGACAGCCTTCCCAAAGCGACTAATTATTTCGCTTTGAAGCAGTGGAGACGTGTACTTTGGGTTTCGCTTCACCGAGGGGGTCGACTCTTGATTGTCTTCTTCGCGTGACATGAGATACTGGTATAAGTTTCCTTCTTTGTCTGAATGACCTAGAAATGACAAACCCCGGCGCAGGAGGTACTTACGACACCTGAAAAATTATCTTCATACAGCGGCTCGCCACTTCCTGCTGCTTTCCAGTCTGTGTGCTGATTTGGTGACAGAACAAAGTCGATTGGCGGCTGCTGTGCTGGTATACGGCGTCCTTGTGCGTTCGACATAACCCTTGGCCGGCGCTGGAGAACAATCCCTCACTTTTCACCAAGCACGTTGTGGACGTGCTGTGTCTTTCCACGGCACCGCTTTACTTAAATAGCGATCACTCACTCGCCCAAAAAGTTGAGCCGCATATTTACTTAGCCACATGACACTGCAGTCGCATTTTGAAGCAGGGCAAGCTGCGCGATACGGAGCGCAAAGCTAGCCGAACAACCGTAACGAAATACGCGGGCTAACCACAAAACACATAACAGAAGATGACCCCTCTGTGCCAAAGTAGAAACATAGCACTGAATACTGCTGAAGAAACCCGATAAATGCGAAAAACTCTTGACAAACCCAGCTTAGAAAGGCGGGCAGACGGCAGGCAGCACGCTACGCAGGTGGAAACGAGACCGCAAACATGGCTCCCGCGGCGGCCGATGCTAGCGCCCCTTGCGATGTGACGTGATCTGCATAGCGCCTGTAAAGTGGGTTAGCACTTAATAATGGCTCCCTTTGAACCTGAAATTACCACGTAGCCCACAAAACCATTGATGTAAAAGTCAGTTTGTAGATTTTTGTTAGCTTTTCATAATTTTGTGGCGGTTATTCACCTATCTAAAACCTTTATAAGTGCAAGCCGATTTGGCTTGCGGATATTAAGAAACATATAGTCACTCCCTTTTCTTATTAAGGTAAAGGCCCCTGTCTGTTGCACCGCTGTCACCCGAAAAACAAACCTTAATCACTGAGAAGTTACATTCAAAGTTAAACTTAACAATGTCTTTTGCGGAATCTTCCAAAGTAGGTCGCTTGGAGCTTGGCAGAAAGGACCTCAGCGAACTTTGTCGCTTTCGCGGCATCTTCCGAATCCATTTAAAAGTCACAGGCACAATAAAACAAAAAGGTTGCTCGGCTGGTTACTATGCAGTGTTGGCGGCATTTCCATAGATGCGTGCAGGTGCGAAATGATCGATGAGGGTGGACGAAATTGCTCAAGCAGGAGGATAGGCGTCTTCGTATGAACGTTCGTGCTCAGAATTTCGTCACAAACGTGTAGGTAAACAAACTGTAGGGCCAACTTGTTTGGTATGACCTGACTAAAACGGTGCCGGAAACCGAAACTTGAAACAGCACGGATGAATCCAAAGGCAGGGAAAGACGATCATTACGTGCGCCTCTCCTTGCAGTGGAAACAGACGGAAGGGTGAACTATTGAGTACCATACTGTTGGTCGTGTGCACTGCTAAGATAAGGCACAAAAAAGAAGCAGAAAAAAACGTGGACGCCTATGAGCATTTAAAAGGAGCGAGGGTGGGACAGGCTGCATGTCATTGGGAAAGCCTGTCTGTAGCCAAACATTCACCGCCATACAGATACCGCGGATAGGTGAATTCTCTTTTAGCGGTTTAAGTCGAAACCCGACAGACCCTGTGGCGCCTTCGTTTTTTGTCGTGAGTGCCTTCGACTCCGCCGCGTACCATGCTCGGTTTCATCGGTGTCCCCAGAGCCGGAAAGGCTCAGCAAACGAGGAACGAAGTTTTTACTACCTACCATGGCCTTGATCATTCATTCCATAATCCATACACGCTGGGCTCAGTTCAAGTGCCGGTATTAGGATGATGGCGATTATGCCCAACCTGGTCGCCGCCTCTCCGGACCTCACGGCGGAGCTGTCGCCGCAAAGATGGTTTGCGACTCATCTTAGTCTCCAGAAAGACGGCGGCTCTAAAAGAGTAAAGGCCCGTTCACACTCTTGCGACCGAGTACGACCGAGAGAGACCAGACCGGTTTTTAAGCCTCTTGCGATCTCTTAGGACCAGCTCTGCTGCTGCGCATCCTGTCCTAAGAAGTCGCGAAAGGCTTAAAAACCGGTCTGGTCTCTCTCGGTCGTACTCGGTTGCAAGAGTATAAACGGGCCTTTAGCTAATAAGATTCAGAAAAGAAAAGTGGGAGAGCGAGAAGGCAGGAACAAGAGAGGGAGGGGAGCGGGGGGGGGGGGGGGGGGGGGGGTACGGGCGTACGAGAGAGTCCAAAGGCGACAAAGACAAGACACTGGAGAGAAAAGCCGAGAAAAAAGTGAGGCCGCCCGGTAAGAACTCAAGTGGCACCCAAAGGTCACGGGGCTCTCGTCAAGGCCAGAAAGATACGTCGCCTCCCCTTTTGAAAACACAGTGAAGGTGACGAGGCATTATGAATCGCGTGCCTTATCGCTTATTCTTGATAACCTCGAGGCTGTAGTGATCTGTTCGAACCGATCGAATAGATGCTATTCTTTTTAAGTACAAAACGAACGTGTTGGTAACGGTAATTAGACATGAGGAAGAAACATAGAAAGGGGGGACGGACAACGAAGACTTCCTTCGTTGTCCGTCTTCGTTGTCCGTCCCCCCTTTCTATGTTTCTTCCTCATGTCTAATTGCTATTATTTTTTGTTCGTTAGTTCTTTGAGGAGTTGGAATTTCGAGTTGATTTCTGAATGGCGCCTGTTGACATCAAATATGAAGCAGGTCAAAATAAAGGCTGTTCTAATGCAAAGTCTCAGGGGGGAACACTTGCAAGAAGCCCACCCCCCTCTAAACACAGGGGAGGGGACTCTCCTGATCTCCCCGCGATTTACGCCACTAATTTTAGATAATATGATGCTATACCCCGAAAGAAGAGGTACATGAACAAGGAAGAAACGCAGTCCTTTATGCATTCACAATTTTTAGGCACCTGCCTAGTATTCTGATAGCAAGTAATGCTCGTTACAAACCCCGCCAAGTGCCATCGCGCCTTCATTGCATTTGAAGGAAGGGCTATTTACATTCCAAAAATTACTTCTTTCTCCCATATCCCTTACCCTCGGCTGCTCATGGAACACTTACTGTATTCTGAAAAAAGTTTCAGTCCTGGCGAGATAACTTTGTAACAAAAACACCATTTCGTTACGAAATATTGTTAACGGATTACTTTAAGTACTCGTTACTTTCTAAAAAGACGGACATAATACAAACACTGGAGCGATATGAGCAGGCAATTCAGCAGCATCAAAATAACAAGTGCAACAAAATAGAAAACATCGTGAGAAGGAAAATGACCGAAACACAAAACACGATTCTTTATATGACCGGTCACTAGAACCACTTGAAAAACGGGCAAGGCATATACAAATAAGCGAAAAACAAAGATCAAGAAGACAACGCCTACTTGGCGTTGTCTTCTTGATCTCGTAGCGGGAGGTAGTCGCTGCTACTGAGCATGCGCACCGCTAGCTTTGTCTGCAGAATGCCAGGGATCATTTTGTCAACGTAAGCTAACGGGATGGCGGGTGAGATTGCAGCTTTCTCTGCCTTGGCAGCTTCTTTCTCTTCAATACAACTTTTTTTTTTATTGTTAAAAGAACTACTAAAATGCGGGAGTATAAAAAATTAAAAGTACTTTTGCGGAACATTTCTGAAACATGAAAATTGTTTCAAATGTTTTCTTGAAGCCTGTACGGGAAAAGTAACGTGAATGTAATATGTAACGTAACGAGTAAAATAATCGGCTACTTTTCAGCGAAAGTAATTCGTAAGGATTATCCATTACATTTGAGGCTCGGTAATTTGTAATTGTAACCCATCACATTTTTCGAGTAACTTGCACAAGTTTGGTACCTAGTTAGTCATTGGCGGTGAGACTTTTAAAGTACGCGCTACTCAATGAGTGTCCTCAAACACTAGCATAAACAGTAACCAGACGGAACTAACATACTCCACACGGAAGTTCGGCCATTATCTGTTTTTGTTTACCTCCGCACACCCTGTATAGGTTGCTTGATCGCAAAGCTATCAGAAGAACACCCAAATCACACTTGTGAGTCGCCTTCTTCCACAGGGCTCGTCTGGGGCGCTCTGGTCAAGTGTTTCCCGGTGCGGACCGTTGCCGTCGCAGGAAGCGTGCTGGCGGCTTCGGGAATTCTGTTCTGTGTCGTGTTCTACAATGTAACGGCCATGATTATTGGACTGGGCGTCATCACAGGTACCGTGATGTTTTTTTTTTTTGCTTCATTAATCTTTACTGTGCGCTGTAATAATCGTAACGAGCCGGCTCTGATGATGTAATCAACAAACTGGAGCATTCCTAGCAGATTTGCTGCAGAAGCCATCGATATATATATATATATAAGTTAAGTTAAGGCTCGTTCACACAGTTGCATTTGAGTGCGGCTGCAGCCACTTGCACCTTGTGAAGATGGCTTGCAACGAGCTTTTGCTATGGCGACACTTATGACGAGTCACAGCCAGGGAACGCGCTGTGCTTCACGACGCAACGCATAGCAACGCGGTCGGCGCAGCTATGTAGACGAGCCATTATACGGCCAGGAAGACATAGCATAGGGGTCTAATCGTAACGACAAGTCGGCTAATTAACTGCAATATGTTAATTAGAGTTTTAAAAATTGGAAATAAACAAGACTATTTAGAAACTTGCTGAGCGTCATTGAAAGAACACGTCGATATTAGAAAGACTTGGAGCACATGGTAAGCACGGTGGGGCACTAAAGTTATCACGCGCAGCAGGAGCGAGACTACCGCTGCTATAACGCGCGGCCTCGCGGTTTTCCCTATCTTATCATCCGCGTTTTCTCACCCTGAACCTTAAGCCCGTTGCACCAGTGGTTAGTTTTACATCGCTCTTCCCAGGCGCTTAAAATCTTTGTGAAAATAACTAACATAATGGTTTTGGACGACGTTCAGCAAGTTTCTGATTGGGATCATACGTCTACTTTAGTTAATTATTTGGCTTCTCGCGACGATTAGCCCCCAATACTATGTCCCCATGGTCGAATAACTCGCCTGCATAGATCGCATTAGTCTAGGTTTCACGGGACTTTTTTTTTTTAACGAATATGTTAAGTTTACAAGAAACACCCGGCATACAAAAGAGTGAAAGTTCAAGCGTAGTAAATGAGAGCTTAAGAGCACATGGCGTGGTTTATTACGCTCACGTTTCTTGCTTCGAAATTTGTTCTTCAACGTTGGTATTGGCCCAAGTCATAATCTAATTAGGTGCGGAATGATAATGAGATGGTTGACACTCGCCACGCCCCATGCTTATTGAGCTCTCAGTGGCTATAGCTAGAGTGCTTCGTTTTACGTCTTTATTACTTTTTTTAATTCTCCACGGTTTGTTTTTATTTCGAACCCGTTTTTTCGGTGCATTATGTAAACACCAAACAAGTTTTTTTTTCTTTGAATATGAAATATGTTTTCTTATCGTGCTGTTTTGGTAGTACTGTGTAACTACTAATTTATAGCGAATAACATAAATGTCGAGGATAAAAAAAAAATTGGGAGACGCTTAAGCTTCATCTTTAAGGGTGGAATGCGACAGCGTTATTGGGCCCCGTTCGCAAAACCTTCTCATATAAACCCGCGCTCGTTCCCAAGGCGTGCAAGAGTGTGTGCGTGGTCTAGTTTGTACTGTCAGGTAATCTGACGTCCCGTGTCACGTGACGTCACATGTGGCTGTGACCCTTTCGACCCGCTGAATTTACCAGAAAATGTTCCACTAAACTTGTCGGGAATTATTTATGCTAAATTTGTCGGGAAACGTTCGGCTACAGTTGACGGCAAAACGTTTTGCTAAATCTTGCGAGAAAAGTTTAATTGTTCCTGAGCCTATCGTGTTTTCTACTCAAGTCGTTTTAAAGCATGGAATGCTTTTCAACGCCACCCCCCATTTCCAAAATCTTGTCCGTCCGTCCGTTCATTTCTCAGCTAAAAATAGCTGGAGAGCTGATGTCACGTGACACGACGTCACGGGGCATAAAGAAACCATTTAAGTTTTTCCGCTAAATTTATCTAAAAACGAATTGACGTCGTATGACTTAGGCACCAATTCAGTTTCTCCGCTAAATTTGGCGACAAAGTGGCGTTACGTGACGTCTGACTTATACACATTGGGGAAATTGACGGGACGTGGCCTATACATGAATTCCGTTACCCGCTAAATTTAACGGGAAAATTGGCGTCTTGTGACGTAGACGCCAATCCAGTTTCCCCGATTTTAGCGGGGAAATTGACGCCACATGGCCTGACGTCACGGGACCTATACAACCATTCAGTTTCTCCGCTAAATTTAGCCAGAAAATATACGTCCCGTGACACACCATTTCCCTCAGCAATTTGTTTCTTTACGTCTTCATTCGGTGAATGCGTCAATCTCGCACACTGGCCCAGTGCGTTCTCTGTGAAAAACGGGTGCACGCGTAGACGCTTATACTTCGTTAGAGCCTCAACTCTGAACCGCCGACGCTGCGAGGTAATGGCAGTGTTGGGTAAAGTTCATCTAAAAGGTACTTCAAGTAAAGTACAAAGTAAATGAGACGTGATGAACTTTAAGTGAAGTATTAAGTACGCTGGATGCAATGTACTTAAAGTAAAGTACTATAAATACAATGTACTTTCAAAGTAAAGTAGAAGTGTTTTAACACAATCTTTAATGATGCCCTTTCATCTTTAACTGGTATGCATTGGTCAGGGGTACTAGGGTGCATAATCTATTTTCAAAAACAGTGGCGAATATTGGATAAAGTTAAGTAACCACAGAGTAGTTATTTTCAGGAATGCAACCAAATTCAGAAGTCCCTCTTCTGAATTCGGCGCCCCTTGCACTGGATTGTTGCACCCAAGGGGGTTAAATGTACTGAGAGAGCATGCGCCCTCAGCCCGGTAGCTTCCGCAAGCAATCCTCTCATAGAGGAATGTTCTCTCCTTAATGAAAAAAAAAAAACAAAAAAAAAACAGTGAGTGTGCACGCGAGCTGGTGATAATTAATCATAATGTGACACCCGAGATCGGGATGCGAAAAAAATTAAAGAACTTTCAAATAGAAGGAAAAAACAAAAGAGAATATCTTAAAACATTGTAACGTTCTCCTCTGTTGTCTTTTACTTCAACTTAAAAATTTAGTTTTTCCGCACCTCAGTCTCAGGTGATACATTATGATTAATTTTTCTCTCCTCATATTTTAAACCTCCTCCCTCGCGCTGACCGAATGAGAGGTAGCAAGAGTTCGAAAAGCTACGGGAAAGCCGCCCCCAGAACAAAAAGGGAGCGGTGCGTCGTCTGCTCACGTTTCTGATCAGAGTAGAATATCTCTCCCAGTATTTCTTCGGAGTTGACAAAGCATCATTTCGTGATACAAATTTAACGAAACCGAACTTGGGGAATGTACTTTGAAGTCGGGAATTGTACTTTCCTCGGAAAGTACCAAAGAAAAGACTTGAAGTACAAGCACATATTCGGTGAATGTACTTGAAGTAAAGTACTAGTTTCCTAAACCTACTTGAAATAATACTTTAAGTACAATGTACTTGAAGTACTTTCCAACACTGGGTAATGGGAGCAGTCAAGCAGAGTGAAACGCGCAAGTCACTCGGTCTCTTTGATTTATGATTGGTTCAACGATAATAGAACAAGTACCGAAACATAACGAACACCATGATAGTGCGCTTTTGACGCTTTCTGATTAGTTCCATGAGCTCGTAGTGTCGACTGCGTCTGGTCTTAAAGGGGCACTGACATCCCCCAAACTTTATTTTTCATTATTTGACAGGCGATTTATTATGGTGTCAGTAGGCTACCTAGTCAATATCTTGCTACTGTCACGTATATTTTGAATAAAGTAAAAAAAAGAAGTCGACTGCTTGAAACCGAAATTGAAACCTGAGCACGGAAGCTCATGGCCGCGACACGTGGACGGTGTGTACCGAGGAGGAGGGAGATTTTGAACCATGGTTAAAAGCGCTAAAAAGACGAACACAAGAGAGAAGACAAGTGCGGGCGCAATGGGCTCATTGTTTTTGTATTCTTCCCGTTCTTCGCAATGCTAAGCGCCCACGTTTGTCTTCTCTGTTGTGTTCGTCTTTTTAGCGCGTTTAACCATGGTTCATAACTAGTCATGGGCCGGTTACCAGTAAAAAGTAGCAGTGTTACAGTTACAGTTACCTGGAGGGGAAAAGTAACTCCTTTGCAGTTACAGTTACCGGTTTCAAAAAGTAACGTGTTACAGCTACTGTTACTGAATAAACAATAACGCCGTTACTTTCTCGTTACAGTACAAAAATTGGACTCAAGGAATCACAAACCAAAACAATATTATTTTATTTGTTACACTATAGTGAGAAGAAAGGTAAACTGAGAAATTACAAAAATTTAAAGGTGTTTTTTGCGTCATTTGCCGTTTCTCTATTTGAGACGCATAATTTATTTGCAATGCCGTTTTTTCAAAATTGTCATCGGCCCGCGTCAGTGAACGTTTTGGTTTATTTTTCACTCCGAAACGAATGAGGGGAGAGATGGTCACATAATTACCTTATGGGATATACTCGGAAGCTCGCCTAAACATAGCAGGTCAAACAATTTCGGAACAAAGGGGGAAAGGAGACCATTGGCTTCTTGTGCTTTACCAGTGTACGACGACCACCCCGGCGTCTATGCCCGAAACGCCAACTGTGGAAGTCGCCTTCACTCGAGTGTCTCCGAAGTCAATGAATAAGTTAAAGAAGCGCCGGCTTTCTGCACAATATGCGGACGGCTTCCTTGAAAGCCGTCCCGATATTTGCGGTTGTGGGTTGCGGTTGTGGGCACGCACAACCGCAACATATCTAATTGAATTTCGCTCAGCTGCGATGTATCTGTGGCTATCGCGGCGATGAGAGGCGCCGATTCAGAAAATACGTCGGCGTCATCGGCGCAGTAAAACCTACCGGCACACCCACAACTCGCCGCCGCTAACACCTCCCATTCTCCTACTGCCGAGAGAACTTCCGGTTCCTGTGCCAGAGTACGTCACGGCCGTCAAAATTACGCCGCAGCTTGTTTTGCGGTCAGTTAAAGGGAAAGAAAAAGTCGATATTTCATTAACTTTTTGCGTAGAAGATAATAAACCGAAAAGAAATTGGATGCCTGTTCGGCATTCAGCGAACATTGAACGTTTAATGTAAAAGTTATTTGGCAAAAGTAAAAAGGTAATTTCATGGTCCCTTTAAGTTGACGTTGACTATAATCATGTCGACCCTGAGCAACGTTATAACCAAATGAAAAACATGCATGTAGGGCGATGCATACGTTTAGACGATGGAGCACGGTGCACTTGAGGCAATATCGTAATTGATATATTTTTATTTCAAAATACAAAAATAAATTGTTTATAATAAATAATGCACATTTTCTGCTTGGCAGCTCTCGGACATGGCCTGATGTTTCCTTCTCTTTTGGTTGTTCTCAACACGTATTTCAAACGGTAAGTGTCTCGTTTTGCTGATGAAGCTCAAATTACTCCCATAAAGCGTAAATGTTTATCATCAATTATATTCAATCATAGCTAAAAAAACAAAAACAATACCAAAAATAAGAACGTAGATTACGGTTTGTTAGGTTCAAGCGTCTTTCTCGTGAATCGTTATTAGGTTCACGCTTCTTTCTTCGTAAATCGTTCTTCGAGACGCGTATCGGTTGATGCCGCCTTCTTAATGATCGAAAACAGTCATATTAAGATGCGCGGGTCAAGCCACGCCCCTCGTTCCTTAAAGGAGCATTGACGGGTTATTTATTCTAGCCAAGGTTTTTATTTGTAGATGATAAATGAGGGCTTAACTACCCAGAACACAGTTTGGGGCTCAAAATTGTTATCTTTCCGCATGAAAACTGCCGGTCGGGAATTGGCCGGTTTCAGTCGCGCTCACTCTTGTTTCCATGGTCACGCGGCGTTCAGACTATGTGTGCGTAACATATTCAAAGACGTGGGTCATATAAGGCACACATTCGATATTAAAAATAGAAAAGAATACGACCCCTATTTTTGTGCCCTCCAAGAAACTGCAAATACGTACGTTGATCTAAACAAACAGTATTGTTGCATAGGTCACAGGAAGTACATGTCCACATCATTCTCAATATGGCGACGTAGCGCAGGCATACCGCGGGCTGGATGACGTGATATCGGCGCATGAAAAACCAACGTTGCGATGAACGTGGGGCCGTTACTTCAAAACTGTCGTTCGTGCTACTTGTCAATCGATCTTCAAGTGCAGAACGTTGAGCGGAAGGGATATAAGTGCGAAACTATCGCACGACAAACGATGCACGCAACTTCGTCGTCTGCTTCACGCACCAAAAAAAAAAAAAAAAAAAAAAAAAAAACGGAGAAAAACAAACAAGAAAAACAAAACGCGGTCAGGTGTAGCTTCGTGACTTTCGGCCATGAGCTTTCGTGCTCGTGTTTCGGTTTTGGTTTCGAGCAGTTGAGTTTTTGGGTTTATTAGAAGTAGACGTGACTTTGCTGAAAGATATTGATGGGGTATTCCCCTGACACCGTACTAAATTACCTATGAAAAAAAGAAAAATTTTCGGGGTTTTGGTATCCCTTGAAGCTGTTGATGACCATAGAAAGTGACAGAGTGGCTTTTGACGGAAATAGTTGAAGTCACCCTGACTCATTTTATCTCACTGCATTCACGAAAAAGCGTAGAAAATCTTAATGAAGAGAGAATTTTGTTACTGCGCTTTATGATGACCGTTTGAGGTATAGCAGTTGTTTATATTTCCAGATCTGACGCCATTGAGCGTATGAGATGTACCTTTCCCTATTATTTGAGCCGTTAGGTAATTGTAGATAGAGGGATTGCAGCCCCATTGTACCCAAGTGTAAAGAATTTTGATTTGCGATTCGTTGGTAACCTTGAGAGGTGACCCGTAGTTCATTCGATCCAGGTATAATACGTATGAACAAAATATAATTAATATGTTTGTTAAGTAATTTGAAACCTAAGTAGCACCGCCATGCGGTGTTAGTAACATAACGCCCAGTCCTTTTGATTTACAATGCAAAGTTAAATTGATTATATCTTTTCTGGTTTTAATTTTTTTTTTTGCGAAATGTGAGATTTGTATTTTTTCCATATATTTGCACAACCTTACGCGATTTATATTTGCTGACGTTATTGCACGGCCCTTATTCCAGCTCTTCGCTTATGTTTCGTCATTGATTTCCCTTCTTTTGCTTTGGCGTTTATAGAATACATGGTTATTCAGCCGACTTGTGCCAATTATTAAGAGATGATGAACGCTTATCGTATGAAACTGTTCACAATCCTTCGGAGCGTTCAATATATTTCTTGCAATGTGCCAAACCGGCTGACTAACACCGATTAAGTTGATAATTTTTAAAATATTATTATGTGCGAAAACTTTGTTTACACTGAACTAGAGTTTGTTCAGGAGTATCCCACTGTATCGTTTTTATGAACGTAGCATCTGTGTCTAATTTTTATTAGCTTTAAAGAAAGGGCGTGGGATTTTAGAAAGTTCCATGTGACTTAAAACTCGTGAACTTGCAAAGCTCGTGCCCTTAAGGCCCGTTCACACTCTTGCGACCTCTTAAACCTGGGTTCCTTAAAACTTCTTAAACCAGAGAACACACTGGTGCCATCTATTGGGAAGCAGTGTAAACTCGGTGGTCTGGCATATTTTTTTATTTCTCGCGCATTATCTTTTCTTTCTTGGCTCGAAAAAGCTTTTGTCAATGTTATAAACGAGCCTTTCTAGGGGTATTACGCACATTTGACCTCGGAAATCCCGCAAAACCTTCGCTCTTGTGAAATGCAGTTCCAGGGTCACCGCATAGATGGCGCCACAATGCCAGTATGTTCCCTCATTCTAAAAACATTTAAGAAGTTTTAAGAGATCTCGTCTCTCTCAGTCGTACTCGGTCGCAAGAGTGTGAACGGGCCTTTAGTCAAAATGAACTTAAAAAAAATAAAAACTCGCATGCACCTTTATGCAAAGAAGCATGAAGGATATTTCGCTGCAATTGACAAGATGAAATGTCTCTCATACTACAAATCTCGTGTTTTGGTCTGTTTTGCGGAGACATTATTTTTTTTAAACGTTAGCTAATTACGTTCTGTTCAATTAGCCAGCTTGGCACATCTCAAAACTTATTCTGACTTGCTCAAAAGGACTTTGGACAATACTGCGTTGATTTGACACGCATTGCGTGCTGCCGCGTTTTTTAAGGTCTTGACGCAAGCTAGCTGAAGCACCCTGTGTAATATATATTGTCCCTGTTATATATTGTATCCTGCTTTGTTTTATAGAGGCAGGGGCACTACCAGGCATTATGCCTTTATCTCTGCCCCTGCGTAAAAAAAGAAAGAAAAAGTTTGTTCTACAAGAATTTAATGATTACTTTTATATTTCGATAGGTTTCGTGCTTCGGGCATGGGCATCTGCTACGCCGGAGGCACCCTGGTGTCATTAATGTTTCCTCCGCTTCTCCTGCACTTGCACGAGGCCTACGGGTTGCGAGGAACTCTCCTGATCCTTTCGGCCTGCAGCCTTCATGTCACCGCCGGCTGCCTCCTTGCCAAAAAACCAAATGATCGACCACGCCCCAAGAGCCCGGTAGAGGAACCCCTGAACACAAACCAAGGTTCTGGTGGTCACGATAGAGCTGCGAAGTCAAAGGGAGCATTAATACCCATGCGGGAGGAGCTGTCCTTTCTCAGGAATGCCATGTATTTCGTTGTAGTAGCAACGAGCATTGTGTACACGTACAATTTAAATGTCTTTAATGTCACCATTGTGGACTTTGCCATCGGAAGAGGTTTCAGCAAATGGGAAGCTGCGCTGCTCTTACCCTCATATGGCACCGGGGACCTACTGGGCCGCATCTTGTCGGGTCAACTGTCGGACCGCAAGATACTTCAGAGGTACGGGTGTTGGCTTATTAATTTTTTTTCATGCGTAGAGGCACGTTCACTTATATTTACCACAACAGAACAAATTGTCGTGTGACCAATATCAATCAAATTTTAGAGCGCAGCTCTTAGGCGCCCGTTTCCGGCTTGAGCGGCGTTAACCAAGGTCACGTGACCCCCAAGGTCACCCCAAGGTCATGTGAGTCCCAAGGTCACGTGACCCCTCCCAATGTCACCCCAAGGTCACGTGACCCCCAGGTCAGAAACCCCCGAGGTCACGTGACCCCTCCCGAGGTCATCCCAAGGTCACGTGACCCCCAGGTCAGGAGCCCCCGAGGTCACGTGACCCGCCAAGGTCACCCCAAGGTCACGTGACCCCCAAGGTCACCCCAAGGTCAGGTGACCCCCAGGTCAAGTGACCCCCCAAGGACACGTAAGCCCCGAGGTCACGTGACCCCCGAGGTCGCGTGACCCCTCCTAAGGTCACTCCAAGGTCACGGGTCGCCTCAAGGTCACGTGACCCCACGTGACCCCCCAAGGTCATGTGGCCCCCCCTCGAGGTCACGTGACCTCCCTCCCCCAAATCACGTGACACCCCCCCGAGGTCACTTGACCCCCTCCCCCGAGGTCACTTGACCCCTTCCCCCGAGGTCAGGTGACCCCCGGAGCATATAAAGAATGAGGGGAGGAAGAGGAGAATGAGGAGGAGGAGGACAAGGAGGGGTCTACCCTCCCCTCAGTACCCTTCCCTCCTCCTCCTCAAGAGCTGCGCTCCAATTTGGCGTTACAGGGAGTTGTAAACGGCTTTCACCTTTTTTACTTCGTACATATGGATCAATATTGTTGTCTGTACTTGCATCGATATTAGATTTTCGAATATATACCAGCGCGGGCAGATTTACCAGTCCCTCAAATAGCCTAAACTATCGGCCGCATATTGCTAGGTCAGTTGTCTCATTAACAGTGATGCCGAAATCGCTGCTCGGTAGTATGGGGCGCTCATACTGATTTGCTGTCAAGATTTTCATACTAAAACGGCCTAGAGTTGACGGAGTTACGCATAAACACACAAAGTTGAAAGTATAGCGTAGACAATTTCGAGCCATTTATTAATCAGACCCTGATACCGCAACTAAATACTGCATCCACTGCAGTTGATTTACTCCATTTGTTAAAAAAAAAAAAAACGCGGCAACATATGATTGCTAAGACAGTGTGCAGCGCTCGCTAGGATCAATCTGCAAGTAAAGATATATCTTTAAAAACATTTTTGGCTGGTTTTGATCTATCGATCAAACGGCAATATGCCGACTTGCATCTCATGAGATACGCAGCATAAGCTCATGTTCAATGCCCGTTTACCTTGAACATGATCTTTTTCAAACGTCGCCTCGTCGTTCTTTGTTTCCACTACTTTCTTGCGATGACACGGGGAAAGCACACACTGAGACAAGAGAGCATCGTGTGGGGGGGCAGTACATTTCGTCTACACGCGACGCGCGCTAATACACGCAGTTCGTTCGCGACGCAAGAGTTTGGCAGCTGGCCAGCTCTGCCAAAATTCCTAGCTCCTACTGGGCTATGTTAAAGGTTACGGCGCGGAACGGGCGCTCGAGAAATCTGATTAAGCTTAAGTTAACGAGGCCTACGGGCCTCGTTGATTTAAGCTTAAGCTTAAGGGTATTAATGCACTTCTGCATTAATACATGGTCTGATATAGTTATCCATCTTAAATGTTTGGATGGATAGAGCGAAGACAATTATTTGTGTTGAGGGCTTTACTTCAGGGCATCGTCAGGTAGTTTATCATTACCCCTTGCCAGTTGTTGGTCAACGAGCTTAGGCTGAAAATAACCGAGTTGCTCTTTTCCGAACTCAATAACATATCCTATGGTACATCATTCTTGGCAAGCTTTGGGAAGCGCACAAAATGTCCTTTAGTGCTGTACGGGCGTGGGTCAAGGAAGATTGTCCAGGTTGTTCACTTTATAAAACTTACAGTTTTCTGAAGTTCGCTAGAAAATGCGCAGAATTAGAATACGAATGCTCACATAGTTACTCGCGGTTCTAAAGCGCCTTAAAGATGGTCCCGTTTTTCTGCCAAGCTTCAAGCGTTTATTTGCGAGCTCGAAACATGGGCTGTCACGACGTGGCCTCTGAACATAGGCACACAGTCCGGATGCATTCAACTCTAAGCGTTTTTCCTACTCTGTTCGGTGTAGAAGGATATAAAGGGAAAACATTTACTACGTTTTTACCGGATAAGTAGTTCTTAAGACTCCTTCCTACCCATGATAAAATTAAAAAAAAGGATATTTTTTTGATGAGATTTTCTCGCAGTTTGACATGACGCCTTATTTTTACCCCACCCATGCAGGAGAGACGTGATGGCAGCCTCTTTCTTAGTCCTGTCTGCGTCCTTCGTTGCCCTGGTGTACTCGCGGTCTCTGGTGATGCTTGGTACGACAAGCCTCGTATTCGGCATGGCCAGTGGCAGCATCATTATCCTGTTCACGGTTCTGCTCGTCGAGTACTTTGGCCTAGAGAAACTGCCTATGACCATCGGCTTCATCTCTTTGGTCATTGGACTGGCTACCCTTCCCAGGCCGCTACTCATAGGTACGATACGCAGACGTTCTTATCCTCTATGCGGCTGCAATTCGTCTGCTCTTTGCACACCTCGTGCGTTTGCTTACCCCCCAAACGATCCATGTGCTTTTAATGCGAAAGCATTAACTGGTTCCTGGGAGCGAAGCCGGCGTTGACTGCCGCCGTTGTCTGTAGCAGCAAAAAACGACATCTAAATTCCCATTGGCTGGGCGAAACGGCACCTGAATTCGAGTTGGCCAAAAGCGCAGAAACGCAGAAGCTTCGTCTTGGAAGCCTTCGTAGCGCTCAAAGTCAAAGCGGACGCGCCTCAGAAATAAAACACAAAGAAAAGCACAGGACCGCGATGCTTCGTCACGGGGTCGGCGCGCCTGAGCATTGAGGGAGCGTGATGTCACCGCCGGAGCGCCATGTGAAAAAGGAAGACGTGGCGCGCGCCTTGTAGGAATGCACATCATGTAGGAATACTTTTGCATTCCTGCAGGTAAGCAGTCTTAAGTGCATCTGCCGAATTTTGTTTTCTCGCGACCTTAACCAATGACGGCGTGCACGTGGCTGCCTCGTCACCGCGCGGTTCCTAAGGGTTCTCTACGTTGTCCTCGGTCTGATTGGCATGCTCCTACTGGCGTTCCGATGCATGAAAGACGGATTTTGGTACACTTGCTCGCGGAATAGGTACTGACAGCCCGTGAAACGCAGGGCGTGCTTCGGGATTCGCTTCAGGATTTGTTCTTTGTCACTCTTATTGGCTAATACCGCAACCTTATCGAATGCGTAGTGATAATAAAATACTACGAACTTTGCCACGACTTGTGTTTCTTAAACTGACAGGAACTACTGTCATCCTCAAAGATCTGACGCCCTGTAGCCGAAGCTTTTTGATAAAAAAAAAAAATATTTTGGGTTATTCTTGATCATTGACTAAAGGAAAGTTCACCCATATTCGTTTGCCACGAACATTATGATTATTTACTGGAATACCACGATTCACATGTACGCATGGCACTGCGGCACTCGTGCCAGAAACACGTTCTGTGAGCACGATGTTTTATGAGAAAAAAAAGTTGCAAACGACCACACAAAGTGTGATTCGATTGACAGAGGAAGCTCTTGTGGTGCTGTGCCTCAGAATATTTGCTGTAATAGCTTTGATAGTCGTATAACAATTGTCGTAGGTGTACTTTGAAAGATATGTGAAAGGCGCTTACGCGGTGCATCTTGTGTGTAATGGTAGGCGCCCTGCGCCCTTTGCTGTCTCCTGCCATGGCGGCATTCAGTTGAATCTGCTCAGTGGTTCATAATTAGTAATTCCCACAATAGTTGCATGGCCTGGTAAGTCTGGGGGCGTAGAAAGGGGGGGGGGGGAATGGAGATGTGTGAGCATGGGCTGCGTAGAGGCACCGAGCATGTTCCAGAATCCCGAAGTGGCGGCGGTGAGAAACGGGGGGGGGTGGGGGGGGGGGGAAGACGAGAGAGAGATTGTGAGAGGGCAACGCCGCTGACTTCCAAATATTTTCAACGCCAACGAACGAACAAGGCAAACTCGACGGGCGATGGCGATGGCAAGAGTGCAAGCCTGCCGCTTAAAATCACTCTTCTCGCGATGACGTGCTTTTGCGTAGGAATCTCACCGAAGTTCTCCCGAAGGATCACTAACTAATTTAGCTGTAAAATCAGCCTTTCGTACGGTGACGCGCTCTTCTTATAATCGTGATACTCTGGTTCCCTTAACCGTTACCATCGGGAACTATATTTAGTGTCGCGCTATATGTCCAAAACCAGCCGACGCTATAATCCTATGTAGCCAATCAGGCAGCGTCTAAATTGCATCTTCACGACGCTCGTCGTCAACGTGCGGTTGCTATCACGCTATCACTGCCTAAATCAATCACGCCTAGTGAATGCGTCGTGATTCGCCGAATTCGTCTCTGCCTGATTTGTTTAGCCGGTGATTCCAAACGAACAAAGTCACCGAGCGACATGACAGTGCATCATTGACGCTGCGGGATTTGCTCCACCGCATCGAATCGTCGGCTGCACTCAGACTCAGTGTGAAACGGAGTTTTGAATAGCGCTAGTTCATCCTCCCCTGAAATCGAGATTGCACTGTTAGATTCCATCTGTGCACTAAAAGGCACGAATTATTCTACGAAGAAACCGCCACAACATTCATCCTTCGGGCTGTGCTTTCCTTTCTTAGATGCGACAGATATGCACGTGTAGGAGACCAGGCCGACGGCAAGTCATTCATGCCAGCAGTTGAGGAAGATTTCGGCCATTCGTATGACGTGGCCACTTGAATAATGATGGGCCATATTGAACAATATTACGATTGAAGTCTATTCTTCATCTTACTCTTTCATTAGTCAACAAGAAGTAATAAACGCATACAAAATATGCTACTCCTCAGCCCGAAAAGTTAAATTTCCTTGAGAGTCAAGTGATGCTCTCGCATGTTGAGTTTTCACTCTCAGGAAATGCTGCTCGTGAACTATCTGTAGACATTGCGTGACCATGGGCACTGGATGTATAGGTATTGAATTCACCCGCCAGCTCAACTTTGGGCGGGTGTGAATATGGTTATAAGCTTATTCACGACTGCGAAACGCATTTTTGAGATCCCATATTAACTGTCAAGTCTCCGTGCGCATGTAAGTGGGCATCCCTTTGAACGTTTTCACTCTGAGCCTCTCCGGACCCCCTGCCACTGCAGTGCCGTTCTGGCGCACAGGTCAGCACAAGCGGGAAGCTTGTTTAATCAAATTGAACAAAATATTTCCGACGCTACTTTGCTCATGCATCACGAAATCGTCATGCATGTGATAACGTTTCTGGATAGCTAAATACCGGTGCAATAATTTGCGTAGTGAGACTCGTACTGCAACTTCCGGCAATAATGGCTTGGATTTACGCTACAATCACTTGCTCGCTTAAAGACCGACAACCAGTTCGCGCTTTCCACTTTTCCCCCGCTTCCTCCTCTCCCGTTTTCTACTCTGTCCACCGTTGCCTGTTTCCTCCTCCCCCAGGGTGAGGAGGATCTTCTGTCTTGCAGAATCTCGTGTCTGGTCGTCCGCCTTTAAGCCAGCAAATGGGAATGAGACGCCACCCGCCAGGCAGCCCTAATGTGGCGGTAATGCTGCTGAAGTGGTAACTGAAGTCAAATATACGACAAGTCGACGAAACTCAAGGCATTTGGTTGAAAAGAAATCGTCCGCAAAGTTTGGCGGAGTATGGTCACGTTACCAGGTGTTGTGATCACCTTTACCGCGTAACGTGTTTACGTGACGCTAATGACGCCACTTACATGCCGCTTTTTGCTTTGGGTTCTTCTTACACAGTCCATGCTGTCATGTATTCCACGCTAAAACAACGTCCGTCGTTTCAGGCCACTACCGAGACCGCAGCCAGTCGTACGAGAGCCTGTATGTTCTGCTGGCTGCGATGTCCTTTGGAACATGCATCGTCTGGGTCATCGAGTGTATTCGGCAGTGGATCGCCAGCAGAAAGTTGAATCACATTGAACATCTCCAATTACAACAGGCGACCACATCAACTTAGCCGCGTTGTTTAAGGCATTCGAATTCGTTCATTTAAAAGGTTAAAAAGCGCAAACAAAACAAGGATAATAAAGGCACAAAGACGACAGGACTGGCGGTACTCGTTCGTTCAACTCGTTCAACTGAAATAATATCAAATACTCCACTTAAGCAATATGAAAGACGAACCTCTAGTGCGCCGTTGAGCGTATGTGATAAGTCTTAATATAGAGTGGACAAGCAGCTCAAACGCTGATCGGAGTCTGTTTTGTACCGTGAGCTACGCTTGCCGAGGTGGAGCAGTTTCGCGTGGCTCGCATAATGAGCCGTGCTCCGTGCTGGGCACGGACGTGGAGTAGGGACGTCACACGGCGTACAGCTGCCGCGCTTTGCCGCCGCCGCGCCCGCCTCGCCGGTTTGCGCATTCCAGAGGAGCGACATCACAGCCGCGGCAGACGCATTGGCACCGCCGCGTTACCAGCTGTGCGCCTCCGTTGCGTAGTAGCCATGTCTGGCGCTGCACCGGAGCCGCTTAATAGCGACTCAGATTTTGAGCGCATAAGCTTACGTTGCGTATATCCTGGCATAGCCGAGCTAAGCCACCGCAATGTTTTTGCATAATATGAGATCACTGTCGTTTAAAAATGCTGTATTCCCGACACACACACACACACGCACAGAAAGAGCAGAGCCAGGAGTACAATTCAAGTAGTTCATTTACTCGTTCATTGTTGCAATAGCGGTATTCCTTCATCTGTCAAAATAATGCGATACCACCAGCGACTTCTGAGTTAAGTATAGTCACTTCCTATATAGTTTCAGGACGTGACACATCGGAATTTTGCGTGTTTGATTTCAGCACCCATTTTGAGAGGAAGGAGGCTGCAAAGCTTTTTTGAGTATGAGGGAATGACTTTCACAAGGTGAGTTCTGCTAGCTTGTTTCAAAGGGACTCATTGTGCGGGTCTTCAGGAGGTGCTTGGTCGGCGTGGCTCCTGCAGACGAGTGCAATATTTCTTCTTCAGGGGCTGTTCTTGAGAACTCTGCTCATGTACGCGAGTGTGGTATCATGTCATTATCCTGTATCTATAGTTTCCAATTACCACTCTCCAATGCATACAGTGGATCTTTAAAACAAATCAATATGTAACATTTTTTCATCAGTTAAGGTGGTTTTGAACTCACCAGCTTTGGAGGAGAGGTGGGGACGGGTGCAGAGCATATACAGGAAGACTGCCTGCACCGACGGCCTTGTTTTGTTCCATTGATGTATGTTGAAAATAAAAGATTCGGGTGTTGTTGAAAAAGTCACTGCTCTCTATGGACGCCAAATAGTTGGTGTTGAGTGTGGGAGTATAAAACCTGGAGTGTCTACGAGCTTCCATTCGGTCAAGGGGAACTCATGGTGTTCTGCTGGTTGACACCCATAACGCAATCGAAGAAATAAATATACCAGCCATTAGTGTTTGTGCAGGCTCTTCGATTCTAAAATCTCGAAGTTGCTTGAAGTGACATCCCTGCATGGGAGAGGACGGCCAATATGACGAATGACGTTTAAAGGGGAACTCCGCCGATTTTTCGAGCTACCTAATCCAAAGCATAATCTGAATGGGGGTGGCTTCCTGATTCCGAAATGCTATCTCCTTCTCTCAGATTCACTCTAGTTAATTAAAAAAAATGATATTTTGTTTCCTGACGAGACCGAAACATCGCTCTCCCTTGATTTTCCCCACTTTTCCCCGCCACCCAAGCGTGACGTCACCTGTGTGCAGCGAGGCGCGCGGCCGGGAATTGGGAACGCTCGCCGCCCGCCTTTCTCGCGTCTAACAGCGAGAAAACTTGAGCGTCAGCGCTATTTGATGTTGATAATTATCCATATTTGCACAAAATATGACCTTGGCCTACGTGCTAAACTATAGAAAAGTAAAAATAAAAGGGAGAAATTGGAATTTTTATAAAACCGTTTTTGCAACTAGCTACGCTCAAGCCGCCGCTCGCTATTTCCTTGATATCGATAGTTCTCTTTTTATTAGATGGCTGGAGAAGAAAGGTCGAAGAGTCACGCAATACATTTTTTGATGAATTGCCAAAGCACCGCAGAAAATGCTCGGAATGTATGTAGAAATGCCCCACACGCTCGTATTACCTGAAGGAACGTGCCATTTGTTTTAGATTTTCTTTTGAAACGCTACTGTTGCAGGCGTCAGCACGTGTAACTACTGTTGTGGCCTGAATGTGCTCCTTGGGACTTTAGTAATTTAGCAAAAGATCTGTAGACCATTTCTGAAAAGCGCTTCTGGTCGATGGCATTTTCAGCGTTCGTGCGTGTGGCGCGTACATTGCTCGCCTTCCAAAGCGATGAACATGAGCGTTCTGGGCTGGGACCTAAGACATGTAGGCTGTGATTCTCGTGAACAATGAAATGTATAAAATGGAATAAGCTGCATTCATGTAGATCAGATGGCAGGTTACTGGTCATGGAGATCGTGTTAAAATGACGATTAAAAGAACTTCGCAACCACCAAGCCAAACATCAAGGTGCAATGGAATGCGTATAAAATACACAAATACACTGTTCATCTCCAAATAAAGAATATTTGCTTGAAGATACAGTAGTCCGTGAGGCACAGAAAGACATTATAAATCTTTTAATTTAAAATGAGTTAACAAAAGTTACTAAATAAATGTGTACCCGCATTTTTTATTTTTTTTTTATTTTCGGTGTAGAATGCAACGCGTTCAAACACCCATCCACGAGAGCACATGGGAAGGGGGTAATTCTATATAAGATATTTTTTTAATTAAGTTGGTTTAAGATAGTTTCTATCAGTAGTAAGCTTTTATGCCATCCCTCAACGACATTATTATTTTCATGGTTTAAAAAAGCTTTCCAGCCCTATATAAATTCTCTCCGCAATATAAAAATTAAAGACGTTTTCATCACTTCTTCTGCAGAGACTATTGCACGCCTACCATTTGACAAACCAGGCAAGGCTCTATCGTATATTAATGGAGCACAACACCTAATCCATAAACCTCTGTAATAGCAGACAGAAATACCAATATGTCGAAAGTCATGTCTATATTCAGACTTTAACTTTGTTTAGACGTTTTATATCTCGTCTTCAACATATCCGTCGCGTGAGTGAAACTCCGGGAGTAGTCCGAGCTATATTCGACGTCCAAAACAAAAAAAGTGTTTATAAAAAAAAAAAAAAAAAAAATCACTGAATTAATTGTGAATAAAAAATATGACTGTGAAAAATGTCGATTATAGTGCTAGATTCTGTACTATATTTCTCGATATTATTAGCACTCTTCTTTGGACGGATGTCGTAATGGTCACAGCCGGCTTGAGTTTGTTTGCGCTTGCCGCTCTTGAAGCTGTTCCAGCTGCTGAAGGATACTCAACCCGCAGCGGGCGGCTAAAAAGTATTCCGAGCAAAACTAAAATTGTTTCACGTGAACTACAGGTTTTCCTGCTCATTTTAATCCAAGCGACGACCAATTTAATCCCGGGGTCACTCAATTTAATCCAAGCGCCATACAATTTAATCCCGGGGTCAGTCAATTTAATCCGCAATAGATATATGCACTTATTGTGTTCAGTGGTCGTGTTTTGCTTACACATTTGGTAACTTAGAATAATTGTTTATACAATTTGAATTTTTGGGGAGCAATTGACAATTTGTTCACTAATGTGATTACTTTGAGTTACTAGTGCCGCTATTGACGATTCTTAATTGATATGTTGGTTACTCCTTTTACAGCGCAGCTCTTAGGCACCCATTTCCGGCTTAAGCGGCGTCAGCGTCGCCGACGCCGCCGGCGTAACCATGCAATGCATGATGGGCGAATTCCCCCGCTAAATTTAGCAGAAAATTTCCCCGCTAAATCTAGCGGAAAATTTTCTCTGCTAAATCTAGCGGAACGTTTTGACTGCTAAATATAGCGGAACAATTTCCCCGCTAAATTTAACAGAAAATGTTTCCCGCTAAATCTAGCGGAACATTTTCCCCGCTATATTTAGCGGAAAATTTCCCCCGCTAAATTTAGCGAAAAATCTTCCCAGCTGGATTTAGCGGAAAATTTGTCCCGCTAAGTCTAGCGGAAAATTTCCCCCCCTAAATATAGTGGAAAATGTTCACCGCTATATTCAGCGGAAAATTTTCCCCGCTAAATCTATCGGAATATTTTCCCAGCTAGATTTATCGGAAAATTTGCCCCGCAAAGTCTAGCGGAAAAGCTTCCCCGCTAAATCTAGCGGAAAATTTTTCCCGCTAAATTTAGCGGAAAATATTCCCTGCTAAATCTAGCGGAACATTTTCCCCGCTAAATTTAGCGGAAAAATTTTTCCCGCTCTGTCTAGCGGAAAATATTCCCCGCTACATTTAGCGGAAAATTTCCCCTGCTAAATCTGGCGGAATGCTTTCCCAGCTAGATTTATCGGAAAATTTGCGCCGCAAAGTCTAGCGGAAAAGCTTCCCCGCTAAATCTAGCGGAAAATTTTTCTGCTAAGTCTAGCGGAATGTTTTCCCTGCTAAATCTAGCAGAACATTTGTCGCGCTAAATTTAGCGGAAAATTTCCCCCGCTATATATAGCGGAAAATCTTCCCAGCTAGATTTAGCGGATAATTTGACCCGCTAAGCTTAGCGGAAAATTTTCCCCGCTATATCTAGCATAAACTTTTACCCGCTAAATTTAGCGGAAAAATTTCACGCTAGATTTAGCGGAGAAAATTTGTAGTGCCAAAGCGCGACACTTATTGTGGTGGCTCACGCAACGTCTGGAGCTAATAGGGTATTTTCGTAGATCGTTTCTGCAGTCCCGCAATGGCCCTCCGCAACCAGCTACGCTAGCCGGAACTCTACAGTCAAGGCCATCGGCGCGGCGGCGCAGTAGCGGCTTTTCCGTTGTGGAGGGCTTAGCGGAGGGGAAAACGCGGCTTACGAAAACCTTCTATTGACGTTTTAAGTGTGCGGCACGAGCAGCACCGACGGGACCGAGCTCCGGGCTCGAACAGAACAGCACGAGACTGGCAGCGTTCGACGGTGCAGCAGGGCGGTCTCAGCAGAGCCCCCTTTTGATAA